GTAGCCAGTAGTGTCGACTGGATGGTTCTACATTCCTGAAGTAACCCACCAAATTTCCCTTGTTGTCACAAAGCCATGGTCTTTAGATCTCGATTTGAAACTCGGTTTTTGCAAGAGAAGTGAAGAGCAGGCATGATCATAATAAGTTTTACGGTATTTTAATTACTCCAGTTTCGACGCATATTTAATTTTTGAGGTCAGTTGTGTTTGTTACTTCATTTTTTGTGGCAAGGCTAAGGAAGATTTTACAACTTCTAAAAACAGCCAAAAAAAAGTGGGCAAAAAGACTTATTATCCCACAGTTGAATTTTTTCTTACTCAAGAAGATGATACACAAGGTAGACTATTAAAATTGTTTACTTTTCTAATGGTTTTACAGTTTGAAAAGGCTTGAAAAATTATTTTCCCCAGGCAAGTACAAAGTTTAATGGCCAAAAACATATGCTGATCAATACAATATTTTTCGCTCCAAATTTTTTACTTTTGTTTGGTAGTCAAAAAAAATAAAAACCCGGTTTATGCATGCCACTAAAAGCTTCTGCAATGACTGTTTGTTAGTGGGAAATTAGCCTCCATTTTAATACCTAATACCTTCCAGAAGTAAAAGGTTAAAAAATTTTATCAAGTTTATATTCAAGTTAATTTTAATAATACTCTCTCGGTATAAATATTATCAGTAAAGCAAACAGTCTTTTTATGCCGAAAATTATCCTGTTAAATGCACACAAATTAAACAAAAACAAACGAAAAGAAAAAAGAACGTCGATATAAAAGTCAATTTTACATTATTCAATATTCTTTGTGCCAAAGTACAGCTTATTTTGTGAAGTATATATCTATCTGTCTAAAAACATTTGTATTAGGGACATATATTGCACAGTTCGCCTTGCAGTTTCATATTCCGTCATTGGCCACCAAGCAAACAATGTTGTTTTAACCACGACATTTCGCATTCCTTGTTAGAAAAGATTTCGCCTTTTTGCATTCCTCGTTTTATTGATTCCTGTCTTAAAGAAACTATAGGGTTATAAAAATATCCCTTGTTATAGATACAATATAATGCAAAAGATATCCCCTTGTGGCATATTTTTATTTCGTTTTATTGTATATACTACCAGAGATATCGAACGGTAAATGTGCATGTGTATTAATATTTATACAGGGTGTCTCAAACAACCTTTTTTAGACACCCTGTATATGCCTAACTTGTGGGGACATGTTGTCATTTCATTGTATAGTATAATTTATGCTACTAGAGATAACGAAAGGTAAATGTCATTCGTACTAATATTTATATTTCCTAAATTGTGGGGAAATTTTTTATTTCATTGTGTAGTATTACTGCATGTGTATTAATATTTATATTTCCTAATTTGTGAGGACATATTGTTATTTCATTGTATAGTATTACTATAGAGATATCCAACGTTAAATGTGCATGTGTATTAGTATTTATTTTTCTTAACTTGTGGGGACATTTGTTATTTCATTGTATAGTATATACTACCAGAGGTATCGAACGTTAAATGTGCATGTGTATTAATATTTATATTTCCTAACTTGTGGGGACATATTGTTATTTGATTGTATATATATTACCAGAGATATTGAAGAGTATATGTGCATGTGTATTAATATTTATATTTCCTAACTTGTGAGGACATATTGTTATTTCATTGTATGACATATATTACCAGAGATATTGAACGGTATATGTGCATGTGTATTAACATTTATATTTCCTAACTTGTAGGGACATATTGTTATTTCATTGTATAGTATATTTTACCAGGGATATTGAACAGTATATGTGCATGTGTATTAATATATTTTCCTAACTTGTGGGGACATTTGTTATTTCATTGTATTGTATATATTACCAGAGATATTGAACAGTATATGTGCATGTGTATTAATATTTATATTTCCTAACTTGTGGGGACATTTGTTATTTCATTGTATAGTATATATTACCAGAGATATTGAACGTTATATGTGCATGTGTATTAATATTTATATTTCCTAACTTGTGGGGACATATTGTTATTTGATTGTATATATATTACCAGAGATATTGAAGAGTATATGTGCATGTGTATTAATATTTATATTTCCTAACTTGCGAGGACATATTGTTATTTCATTGTATAGTATATTTTACCAGAGATATTGAACAGTATATGTGCATGTGTATTAATATTTATATTTCCTAACTTGTGGGGACATTTGTTATTTCATTGTATAGTATATATTACCAGAGATATTGAACAGTATATGTGCATGTGTATTAGTGTTTATTTTTCCTAACTTGTGGGGACATTTGTTACTTCATTGTATAGTATATACTACCAGAGATATATTGAACAGTATATGTGCATATGTATTAGTGTTTATTTTTCCTAACTTGTGGGGACATTTGTTACTTCATTGTATAGTATATACTACCAGAGATATATTGAACAGTATATGTGCATATGTATTAGTGTTTATTTTTCCTAACTTGTGGGGACATTTGTTACTTCATTGTATAGTATATACTACCAGAGATATATTGAACAGTATATGTGCATGTGTATTAGTGTTTATTTTTCCTAACTTGTGGGGACATTTGTTACTTCATTGTATAGTAATACTACCAGAGATATATTGAACAGTATATGTGCATGTGTATTAGTGTTTATTTTTCCTAACTTGTGGGGACATTTGTTATTTCATTGTATAGTATATACTGCTAGAGATAACCAACAGTAAATGTGCATGTGTATTGATATTTTTTTTCCTAACTTGTGGGGATATGTTGTTATTTCATTATATAATATATATTACCAGAGATATTGAACAGTATATGTGCATGTGTATTAATATTTATATTTCCTAACTTGTGGGGACATTTGTTATTTCATTGTATAGTATATATTACCAGAGATATTGAACGTTATATGTGCATGTGTATTAATATTTATATTTCCTAACTTGTGAGGACATATTGTTATTTCATTGTATAGTATATATTACCAGAGATATTGAACGGTATATGTGCATGTGTATTAATATTTATATTTCCTAACTTGTGGGGACATTTGTTATTTCATTGTATAGTATATATTACCAGAGATATTGAACAGTATATGTGCATGTGTATTAATATTTATATTTCCTAACATGTGGAGATATTTGTTATTTCATTATATAGTATATATTACCAGAGATATTGAACGTTATATGTGCATGTGTATTAATATTTATATTTCCTAACTTGTGAGGACATATTGTTATTTCATTGTATGATATATATTACTAGAGATATCGAACGTTAAATGTGCATGTCTATTAATATTTATATTTCCTAACTTGTGGGGGCATGTTGTTATTTCATTGTATAGTATATACTACCAGAGATATTGAACGGTATATGTGCATGTGTATTAGTGTTTATTTTTCCTATCTTGTGGGGACGTTTGTTATTTCATTGTATAGAATATACTACTAGAGATATCGAAGGTTTAATGTGCATGTGTATTAGTATTTATTTTTCCTAACTTGTGGGGACATATTGTTATTTCATTGTACAGTATATACTATTAGAAATATTGAACATTAAATGTGCATGTGTATTAATATTTATATTTCCTAACTTGTGAGGACATATGGTTATTTCATTGTATAATATATACTACTAGAGATATCGAACGGTATATGTGCATGTGTATTAATATTTATTTTTCCCAACTTGTGAGGAAATGTAGTTATTTTATGGTGAATTATGCCGCTAAGGTTATTGAACGATAAATGTGTGTGTAACCGTACATATTTATATTTCCTAACTTGTGGGGACATATTTGTTATTTCATTGTTATGTAGTATAGTGCTAAATAATAAACGGTAAATGTGTATAAGTATTAATTGTATATTTGCTTACCTGTAAGGACTTGTAGTAAGTGTATTGTGCAGTATTCCACTTCCGATATCAAATGATAAATGTGTGTCCAAATTTGATATTTCCTTAAACTTTTGAGGACATTGAGCTAATTTATTATGTAGTGTATTATCAAGGATATCAAATGGTAAATAATAATTATATCTTTGTGAATTTACAATTTTTTTTTTACATTTAAACTCGATCACACAAAACTTTTTTGTAAAAGTGGATTTTTAACAAACTGAAACCATTAGAAAATATGTTTCATGAAACGTTTTCAATGATCGTGTTGATACTCTTAGGATTTTTTAAAACTGTGGAATTTTGGCGAATAACAATATAACTGACATGGTTTTTGAACTTTTTGAATAGTGTTTTAGGCTTAAAAACGGATATTTAGAATACCGTTACCGTGTAGTTAATTGTTATAATTAAAATTTGACCGCTATCATAGCAAATTGATTTACCAGAATACTGTCGATTATACACAATAAACAATAGCTACAAGGAATATCAAAAAGGGTGAATATGTGTTTTATAATCAATAAATTACATGCAAGGACTAATTATCATTTCATTATGCAGCATACTTGTATAGGGATTTCTAACCAAAAAAGTGCGTTGGAATATTTCCTTAATTGTGTGGACATATTATACAATGATAATTTTATCATGCCAGCCGTAGATTTCAAATGGTAATTGTGTATCAAAATATTATATTTTCCATACTTGTGGGGACATCTACCTGGATCCAAAATTGTCCCCACAATTACACAACCTGATTAAATTCAATACACAGAATGTCCCCACAAGTTTGAATACACATCGGTCCCCATAAGTTGGTACACACGATGTCCCCACAAGTTCTGACAAAAATGTCCCCACAAAACTGTGTAAATAAATTTTAAATAATTCCAGAATTTTAAGGGATGTATTCATATCTAATGCTATTAGTTACATACTGACAAAGTATGAAGTTAATATGTCCCAATAAAAGTAGTGTCCCCATAAGTAGGTGTCCCCATAAGTTGGTAAGGGTGGGTATGTGTACTCACTGAGTACTCTTTCACTATCACTCTCAATGAGTGGAAAGTTACACTTGCCCTCGGACCATTCACAAACGGCACTCACTCTCGAAGTAGTGGCCGAGTTTGAGTGGAGTATGAGTGTAGGTCATACCTCCCTTGAACCACACTCAAACAAAGTTGTGATAAACAACATGGCGAATCTATGGCTTGAAAGATTGCAACAATTGGACAATTTGCAACGCAATAACGGAAAGGAGAATAGAAATTACTATTTCAATTATGAAATTTATGATGAAGAACAATTTAGAAGCAGATTTAGATTAACTAAGGATGGTTTTCGGGAGATGTTTGACATTATACAGATATATCTGTTAATAAGACATAACGAACGAGGGAATACAATTCCTGCAGAAATTAAGCTTTTATTGACTTTACGTTATTACGCAACTGGCACGTTTCAGGAAGCATGTGCGGACCTATGTGACATATCACAACCGTCTGCAAGTCGTATCATTAAGCGCGTATCTGACGCCATTGCTCGACTGAAAGTTCATTATATCAAATTTCCTGCTGTTGAAATGCTACATCAAACCAAACTTGAATTCTGGAGAATATGCTCGTTCCTTAATGTTGTTGGGGTGATTGATTGTACCCATATAAAAATTCCATGCCCAGGAGGAGAAAACACAGAATTGTTTAGAAATCGGAAGGGGTTTTTTTCACTGAATGTTCAAGCAGTTTCTGGGCCAAATCTAGAAATACAGAACATCGTTGTGCGGTGGCCAGGCAGGCAGTGTGCACGACTCCAGAATATTTGATAACAGTCGCTTGTGCGCTCAGTTTGAGTGTGGTGACATCCAAGGCATGCTTCTCGGTGATAATGGCTATCCTTGTCGACCTTACTTGATGACACCTATAGCGGACCCACAGACACCCCCCGAACGTAGATACAACGTTTCCCATATTCGTACAAGAAATACTGTGGAGAGGATGTTCGGGGTTTGGAAAATGTTATTCCCCTGCCTCTCCATGTCCATTAAAACAAAACTGTCCACTACCCTGACCATTATTGTAGCGACACCAGTCCTGCACAATTTTATAAGAAGAAGAAATAATCCTATAGAAGAAGAAAACCTAGAGGATCCGGAAAATCCTTTACCTGCTATGAATACCAGACCGAATCCCTGGGAAACGCAACACGTCGTGCTCTCATAATACAGCAATTTACATGAATTTTTCAAGGAACTGCAACTCGTTTTATTTTGATATTATTATAAAATGAATATGCAAGCTATATGCTTGGTCTATTAACAATTGTTTTTATTCCTTTGCCGTGTAAAGCGCTTCGGAAGCTCTTCTGGAGTATCAATATCAGCCGTTCTTTTTTTGGAAGACGTCCAATATTGTAATTCCGCTTCAAGGACCTCCATCTTCTTCTGGTGTTCCTCCACAAGGTTTTTCCTCTTCAATTGAAGAATTTCCATCTCCATTGCGTCTTGCTGTTCTTGCATATCCAAGCATCTTCTTTGCGCTGCTGACATTCTACACTTTTTGTAAGTGCGCGGATTCAGCGTCTCCTCAATAACCTCTGATGTTGGTGGTCGACATTCATTGGCATTATTTGTTCTTTCTTCTACATCCTAAGGACATCCTTATACTTCGCAACTAATTCTGTTATAAGCGACTTCTCTAATTCAGAAAAACACTGTCTTATTTGGGACATCTTGCCTGTATTGGTTATGCAGTATCCTGTCTGCACTAAAGTAAGCTACACTTCACTTATTTTGATAACAAAGGCGAATGGGACTCATATAAGTTATATTTGAGTGACCTCAGTGAATACAAATTAAACAACATTTGTTGAGGATGAGTGTTACCTCAATGAGCAGAACATATCGCTCACACTCCACTCATGCTCACACTTCAACTCTTCTTGAGTACACCTCACTGGAATGGCACTCAAGTGTTAGTGTGAGTAAGCTTTCAGAATACAGGCGTTAATGTCACAATATGACTAAAAAATATACTGAAATGTGAAAAAAAAGTTTAATTTGACACGGAACAATCGAAAAAATTGTTGTGCGGTTAAAGAAAAGTAAGAACAGTTGCTATGTTCTATGAGGTGCAGGACGCAAAAGTTACTTGAGATTACTCCTATAAAAGTTTAGTAAATTTTGAATACTGCTGAATATATCATATTTTGGCATTTTTAGGATTGGGTAGCAATGGAAAATACATTCAGCCAGAATATGACAGATCTTGGTTCAATAGTGTTTGCTAACACTGATCGACCATATTTGCAAAATAACTACGCGTATTGTGAAGTAAAACTTTAAATTGTTTTATTTAAGTATAAAGTAGTAATTAATGGTTTTGGTGCATGTTGAATGGTTGACTAACTGGTAAATGCGAGACTTGACAAGTTTGAGTAACAATAAGAAAAACAATTATATTTGCGAGGTTCATCATTAAAATTTAAGCCCGACTTTCTTTACACGTTTGGAACAAAAACATCGGGTATGCGCCATCGTCTTTAATAATGAGATCTAGCTACGTGAACTCACAAACAAGATGGGCGTTAAAAAGTTACTTTTGCATGCCCAGGTATAAGTTTTTGTAATCGTTGTTTTTACTTTCCGGCTAAAAGATCTTTGTGTTAGCTTCCTCGAGCTCCCTAATTCGGTTGACAGCGACCTTCAATTGCCTGAAATATTGTCTACCTTAAACCATCTTATCAGTAACGTCGTATGAACGCATTGACAAGTATAACAACAGTTTAAATAGTTTATATTAATACCTTCCATCATTAATTACTAATCAAGATGAAACCTTAACTACAGCAAGTCACACTCGAGTGAGCTCTTTGAATACAAATCTGCCTAATATTTTCAAGGGTGAGTGACGTCTCGTTGAGTGGCCATTCACACTCACACTCAACTCTCACTCACACTTCAGTTCCACTTGAGTGCATCTCACTGGAGTCGCACTCAAGTATGAGTGTGGGTCAGGTTTTAGAATACGGGCGTGAGATACGAAGTGCAAGTCCAAGATGGCGGATAGCAGATGTTTTCCTTCAAAATCTAGAAGTAAAAAATTTGATAAACGTCCGAAAGCAGATTTTGGATCGGATTTTGGATTTATGTGACAATGTCACATAAACAAATGAAATTTTTAAACTGAACTATTATTATCAACTTTGCATCCTTACATGCATCCTTTATACCACTGTATTGCATGTGCCGACACTACGAATGTCGAATGTTATATGTTAATTGTTTTGTTTTTCTACGATCTAGTCTTGGTAATGACTTCACCATGTGTATATAAAATTGTGGTTATAAATTAAGGGAAAATTATATATTAATATTCGAATATTGCAGGTTCGGAATCTAACTCGTCGCTTTCATGAGCCGCCGGCAGTTCTTGTTAGCGCACACCGTAGACGAGGCTTGCCGTCATCTTTGAGAGACCAAAATATTGTGACGTGGGTGAAGGTAGCTTTATTGAAATTGTGAAATACACATCTTGAACAGTGGCATTAAACCTGTTTAACTTTTAGGCAACATATCTAGAGACGAAGTCTATTTCGAACTTTCGCTTTGCAACCGTTGCTATAGCTGAAGAGACGTTTCAAAATGGCCTCCAAATAGAGTTGAACCTCGTTTTTATCAAAATTTTACACTTTGGATGCAATATCGATTGAAGAGTCTTATAAAATTATTTGCAGTGCGATTTTTATAATTATGGCGAAAAATGTCATTTCAGTTATTTAAAAAAATCGCACTGTACAGAATTTTTCAAGCTTTTCTATCGATAAAGTATTCGAATTTTTACGCCAATCAATTAGATGGCTAAATATTCTTGTTCAAAATGTTTATTTGACAATTTCGATAGACTGTAGCAGGCACCTTAATTTAGCAACAAATCTAATAGAGCTTTCTTATAATGACGTCAAACGCGAAAAGTATGATGCTACACGAAGTTTGATTGGCTCAATTGTTTTGTGGAGCCAATCAAATTTCATGTAACATCAGACTTTCCGCGTTTGACGTCATTATAAGAAAGGTCTATTATACAGGACTCGACCTCGAGGAATTTTTGTTCTGTGGTTCATGTATATATTTATGTGCGGTTGTCTTTACTACAGGATGTAAGTATCACAGCGTTTGAAGTATGCATAGAAGCCCTTCCAGGAATACACGGGAATCATGAACCTATCACAATCGACTATGCTGCTATAGGAGGTATGCAATGTTAATCTTTATATAATTATATCTCATTGTATGCAGTGACCTTTTTTCTTTACCTGGAACGATTATAAGTGAAAGTTAAGCCAAATCTAACAATGAAAATAGAATTGATGTACAGACCGCGTAACGATGGCATGTTCGCGTGACTTTTTCCTGCTAAAATCAATGCCAGTTGCACCTAAATACAGTTTACACATTAACACTCTCTCATAGACCTTGATCCCTGTCTTGACGTTACCTGTGAAAAGTTTGCAGTTTGTCGTGCGTTTGGTCCCTACGATGCACGATGTGTTTGTGTGACAGATTGTCCTTCAGTGGAACAAAATTTCTGCGCTTCAAATGGAAGAAGTTTTACCAATGTTTGCGTATTCCAACTGGAAGTTTGTCAAACAAAAGCAAACTATACATACTACCATCATGGGCGTTGCAGAGGTAAAACTTGTCTGAATCAATCTGTGAGCAAGTTTACTGTGAAAAGTTTATACTGTACAAATTGCTCCACGTTCAACTATATAGCGATTTCACAATATGGCAGGTTAGATGCTATAAGATGGACCATTTTCTATGAATAAAAAGGGTATGCTTTCAATTAGCTGAAAAGATGAGTTTCCAACACCTATTCCGCATAAACGATCATTCAAGCTAATACCACAGTCAAACGTTCATTGGTATACATTTTGCAATTTATTCAAAGCGGAGATAATGTGTAAAAAATACAAAGTTATATTTTTTTAAAGATTTTCCGATGACACGAGGACGAAGACAAGTCCCTGGAATTCCTCGCTGGTCAGATTCACATTGCCAGACTGTACAATTCGACCCGTTAACTTTCTATCCTGAAAAGCCTGTTCACGTGCAGATTAGCGTGAGCCACGTGAACGATCCGAGTCAAGTTCATGATGCAGCGGTATCATGGGTAGAAGATATCAACGACAATAATTTCACGTTTTGTGTGATGGAGTCAGGAAGAAATGAAGGGCCACCTCACGGATTCGCTACTGTTGAATATATGGCCTATCAAGGCGCTCCAAGCAGAGGATTGGCCGGCGTAGTTGTAATGCCGGAGTGGTGGGCCGGAACTAAGTGCCAAGATGTGGACATATCTTCGGTAGGGGATATATTTACCTTATATATTTTATGAGTTATTTTGTTTTGAAAATGGATGATTTTAAAGGTCCCTAAGCCCACTAATTACTATCCCCAACTCCTTTCTTCCATGTCAACAAAGCATTTCTGTTGACCTCCTTCACCCTGCCAAATTGGTTATCAAGAAAATATGAACTATAACCTCGTGTGGGGAAAAAAAGACTACACGGAGAGAGAAAACCGTGACTATACGGAGGCGCCTTCTTGTGTGTGGAGGGTGACAAGATTTAAAATTTAAATACTGATGTACATCAGCAGGTTTAGAATATACATCAGTTTGGACATCACCATCAGTTTTAGTATAATCCACACACGTCAAGAAAAGCAATCTCCTTCACAAACTAAGTTCCCAAGTAAAATTGATCCTTTATGAAATGAGTGCAACTTAGTCAGAAAAATAATTCATTCCCCCTCGTCGTGAAGCCAAATCATGAAAATGTAATCTAAAAAGCACCAAGCATCATCTTGCAAGAATCCAAATATCGGACCTCGAAATACCCAATGAAATATTAGCAAACCCAGGAGCAAAGCTGTTTTTTTCATCGAGGGTATACCTAAGAAACCTAGGAATTTTTTCTAAATTTATAAATTCATAATGTTCTACTTTCCGGGGCAATTAACCAATTAACCATTACCTTGAAAAGTGCGGCGCGCGAACCTGAGGATTTACTCCTGTCATGATAACTTGTTTGTATATACTCAAACTAATTCTAAGTACAAGTTAAAATACGAGCAGCCGATCTGTATATGCATTAATTAAGATCGGCTGGGAGTATTTTAACGTGCTTGTAAAATGAATATAGATTAAGCTTAACGCATAATTATAGGGCATGTGTGTAACAGAGTTATGAATACTAATTAAGATTAGTTGTATCAAAATTAATAATTATATGAATTACAAATTCATAAGACTTTATGGGGAATTACAGATGTATACATGTGACCAAAATGCTGCCTAATGATTGGAAGTTACATGCATATCAAATTACCCATGCCATGTCATATCACTTATCATGTGCAATATTTTGACTTCGAAAGGGATCATTTTCGTCCACACCGGCTGTGCTTGTAACTGCAGAACATCATCGACTTAGTCTCAAACACGACGCTGCCTCTCTTTGGTTGGAAGATGTCACAAGCTCGTCATTTAAAGTCTGTTTGCGCGAGCTACAAAACTTTGATGGACCTCACCAGGACATCCATGTTGTAAGTTATTAATTTTTGTATGCCATTACTCTCTGCAAGCCAAACTTTCTAGCGTCATTAGTAAATTATGCAATTTACACTTGGTTCTTGTTTAGAACTGGTTGGCTTTTCAAAAATATGAACAACCTCTGTTTAGTGAACATGCTACCACTAATTTCGCCCAGACAAACAGAGATCCTTTGCCCAGTACTAATTACGCACAATGCCAGGTATTTGAATTCCGTAATAAAGTTTGCAGGAAAGAATAAGTGCGTATACATGCATTTACTGAGTATCAAAAGTAAGTATCCTAACCTATTTTCCTAGAACGTTTCTTTTGCGGCAAATTACACGAGACCGCCAACCGTGCTAGTTACACCCAAACACAGCACATCTGGAAGAAATGTAGACCCAAAACACAACGCAATCTCCGCTTGGATTGAGGTAGCATTTTCTCGAAAAAATAAGCGTTCATTGTAACCATCGGATGTTTATGAGATATAAATATGATGGTTTTCCACCAATGTTAACTCAAGCTACTGTTACTCAATTATTTTATCGTAAAGTAAGCCGATTAGTGTTTCGCGATATTTCTATGGTCGCAAGTCTAAATGTAAATATAACTTGAATATAAACTCCTATCATTTGCCTGTTTTCTTTCAGGGGGTAAATATTTCATCTTTCGAGATCTGCTTTAAAGAGCTATACAGCAGTAATGGATATGACGCCGTGACCATTTCTCATGTGGTTTTGAGAGGTATCGGCTACTCCCTCCTTTTTTTTGTTCCAGTAGACATTCTCTCGATCATAATATTGTCTTCTAAATAGAAATATGCAAACACAATTGGGTATATTATAATGGATTTTGCTACAAACGGGAGTCAGAGTGTCAGACGTGGTCAAATGCCTCTTCAATATGTATGGGATACGGGGCAAATCTTGTCGGAATTGAAAGTGCCGAAGAAGACGTATTTGTTCAGCATCTCCATCATGGTCGACCATCTTGGATTGGACTTAATGATCAAGCAAATGAAGCCGTGTATTTATGGACCGATGGAGGATCTGTGTCGTACACACACTGGGCTCCAGAAATATTCACACCATTCAGCGAGAAAAACGATTGTGTGGAGAGTTTAGGAAGAGATATGAACTATTACTGGATACCATCATCATGCAACAACTGTCAAAGGTTTACCTGCAAAACAGGTTTGTCTAGAGAGTTCTGGAAAATATATGAAATATTACAAAGTACCATATTCATGCAACAACTGTGGAGGGTTTACGTGTAAATCTATGTTATACAGCTAGGTTGTGCAAGAGAAAAATGCAATCCACGCAACTGCAACGCGATGCGAAGTGTGTATATATGAATTACTCATAAATCAACTCGTCATTCTTGATGCTATAGCATATCATGCAATGGTCTAGCAATCGAATGTGTCAATTTGGCACTGTGAAAAATAAGGCAATGTGACGGTGCGTAAGAAAAAGGTTAGTCGTCGCATATTTTGACCTCTTCTCTTTATCAAAAGCAAGTTTTAGTTTAAGCATTCGGTTTTTTAAAACGTATTTGAAGCGTCGTACTCAGGCGTATTTGAAGACGATTGTTTTAAAGGCTACACGGATTCAAAGACAAATTTGCTTTAGCAAGAAACTTACGTTTTACTGTTTTACCTTTTGGCTGCCATTTCCTTTGCTAGTGGTGAATTACCGAATTAGAGATAGTGCTTTCCTAAATTATTTTGATCATTTTCATTGCAAAATGTAACCTCGAAAGTCTCATTGAACTTTCCCTCTGTTTTGTTTTTTTGTTTATCCTGTTTTTAAACTGGAGTATTTAATCGGCTTTGCCTTAATAAAAATTAGGTTCTTAAAATAATTTGTTTCGTTTTTAAAGTCGCACATTCCGATTAGGGTTAAATACTTTTGAGATTCCTTTCACTACACCGGGGTTGACTTTGACATACGTTGACAGTATATCTATATAAGCTATATATAGTGCTGTCCCAGAGCCGTAGCTGTAAATCCTGTCGAAGGACACAGTCACACAGATCTTTATATAATTATAGTGCATGAATATACAATTACTTAATGTTTCTAACTAAAGTTTCCTTGTTTGGATGGCCTGATCCAAACACGCGGGAATGTTGCGAGAGTTAAGAAAAGCGCGCGAAACACGAGCCGAAGGCGAGACCTGTCGTTCCGACAAAGCCTTGTACTTGTAGCAAGTCTTTTGATTCAATAAACTTGAGTTTGTTACAACTTGTTAACAAGTTGTCCCATTTCGTCAACAGTTTGGGACAAGCAGTGCGAACAAATGTTGTTGTTGCAAGCTTGTGAACAGACTTGCCACAAGATATGATATTTTTACGCGTGAACTGCCAATATCGCATTGGCTTCACTGGACATAGTCACTGGTACGTGTACGTGTACGTTAGTAATTTTTCACCTTTGGTCGGAAAATTGGCTGTTGAGTTAAACGTAACGTACTCTTTGATTTTAATATATATGATCTTTTTCTTGGACGCTATATCCCCGTTTATACTAATATACTAGAGTATATGAGTATATTGGTAGCCTAATTGAGCATTAATAAAATTAGATACGGGTAAAATTTTTAGCCATGCCGTGCCATTAAATTGACTGTAGTGTCAACACGTCGATATTTCTTAGATAAAAGAGGGTTCAGGCTCATATTATATATGGGTGCTAAACTTTCAAGTTTTCATTAAAAGGTCTAGTGCAATCTGCATGGTAGCAGCGCTATAATGCATATACTTAAAAGTCGTCCTTATGTTTTGAGAAGCAACTCTACACAATCTCACTAGAAATAATGCATGCATGCATGTGAGATATAATTAATTACAAAATACAACTCAATATTTAAACTTCATTTCAAAAAATGATTTTAATAAAAAATTGGTCGTTATATATTAGACCTCTAGATTATATTGTATAAGAATAAACATTTAAATAATTTACGTTACAAGAAAATTGGGAAAAAATGCACGGCAGGTTGCGTGTTTTATTAATTTTTATATAAAAATTATTGTAATATAAGTGTGATCTTGTCTAACTGATTTGTGCATGCATGCTTTTTTTATTACCTTGGCATGTATATTACTTGGCATATAGTTGGATAGTTTCTTCTTCATGGCTATTGTCGTTTTAGTATAATTTTATTTGTTTTCTGAAACAAAATGTAGTGCATGTTCTATTTCAGTATTTCCCGACTTTTGCTATTAAATTTGCGAATTTCTTGCAGACATTGACGAGTGCACTATCGGAACTTACACCTGCCACCAATATGCAGATTGTATCAACACTGTCGGTTCCTATATATGTCAATGCCGAAATGGTTACACTGGAGACGGTCAAGAGTGTACAGGTGCACCCAAAGGTAATTTGATTTTAATCTGTGCTGGCATAATATTGTGTGTACTTGGTCTCGCAACGAAAATACTGACTCGCAATGAAAATGGAAAGATGTGAAAAGGGAAGACTTATTTCTTAACCGTTGTTAGAGATATTAATAGGGAGCTTTAGCAGTGACTACGAGTACGACTACGTGAACGAGATTCGTCATTCTCGCGCGTTGTTTGCTTACGCCATCAGTCAAAACTCGTAGTCGTTGGGCTTTCGAGTACGAGTTTTTTGATAAATTTCGTAACGGCGAAAGCCCAACGACTACGAGTTTCGGCTGATGGCGTAAGCAAACAACGCGCGAGGATGACGAATCTCGTACTCGTAGTCGTACTCGTAGTCACTGCTAAAGCTGTCTAATATATCAACGCCGGCAACAGAATAATGGACGGAATCGTAACAAGCTGCGACTTAATAAAAATGCCATGCACTATTCGATGTATTATTGGATTCCATATTTTTAAAATGTCTTTCAAATCTAATTTTGGGTTGAAATTTCTGTATGCGGTGCTTATGAAAGAGAAAAAACGAAGATGATTCTGACGTTGACGAAATCATAGCAGATTATTCATATTTATTTATTTGGGCTACTAACGTTTAGGGTTGAAATTTAACATCAGTGATGAATTTTCAGTAATATTCTTTTTAAATCTGATTTTCTTAATGAAGAGGGTTGATAAATTTGCATACATTATACAATCAAACTCGATTGAGTTGCTATACCAAAGGGAAGTCTGATACGCGAGCGGTCATTGCGCAAGATTACTGGATATTACTTGTGATGATGTAGCATAATTGGGGCGTGGGTTGTGCGTATTCATCTATTCTGTTTTGCCTAACTAATTTTTCTTGAAAACACGTTTGAGTACAAAAGAAATCCGTCGGCAGGCAAAACGAATAAATGAATATTCATTCGTCCCCATGTATTTATATAGGATCAATTTTCAGTCATATGTATAGTGAAATTTTGCGTTTGAAATTATTATTTTCTACTTTCAATTAGGTTTTTCGCCCTCAATAAGTTTGAGTTCAGGCAGTTACGGGAGAGTTAAAGTTTATCATCCAGCATATGGGTTGGGTACGGTGTGCGACGACAACTGGGATATAACTGACGCGAACGTGCTCTGCCGTCAGCTTGGATATAGTAGAGCTACTGCTGCGTATCAATCTGCCCACTACGGTCAAGGAAGTGGACCAATATTGCTTGATGATCTCAGATGTACTGGTTCAGAGTCATATTTATGGGATTGTCCTCGCAACTCTTGGGCTACGCACGACTGTAGTCATAGTGAAGATGCAGGGGCTTCCTGCACATGATACAGAACTTTTCTACTGACTTGTTTACATATAATAGGGTTATTTGATTGTATGAATCTAACATGGTGATTAGGCTGCTTAGGCACAATTTGTAAAACACCACTAAATACACTGGATTAGAATGAATGAATGTAAAGCGGCCATTGTTTTGAATAGATAATTAGGTAAAATTCAGCGCCTTTAATGCAACCTCCTACCCAGGGTCTTTTTACCTACAGCGAAATTCAGCCAAGTCCCAGGACTTGTAAGCGCGCTGTTAATTATGCCGGGGCCACGCTGAGATGTCTAGCACAAAATGTCGAGATTTCAAAAATTGTCCCTGATTTTATCCCTGCAAGCACTCCCAAGCAGCCAAGTCATTTGGCCTCTTATACGTTCCTTAGTACACGCGCGGCGAGGCGGGAATTGAAAGGCCCAGGACAAAATGTTTTATTTTGGCTAAAGTAGGGACTTTTTGCACCCACTTTCTATATTGAGGTCAGTTTACGATCTACGACGCGGTTAACTGACCTTGTTCGACGTCGCAAGTCAAATATTTTGCTCGAAATAAGCTACGGGAAATTAATTATGCTGCCAGAACTTTGAAATATTCAAACAAACGTTGCAATGTCATTCGCCGTCAATGCTATCGACTATCGAGTTAACTCGAGTCCGTACGTACATGTTTATGATTCTAATAAGCTTCAATCCGCCAGTTTCAATTATTCATTCTTGCTTCCTTTATAACGGTTCGTGTTGTAAATTGCAAACATTTACTTTCTTACAACAATTCTTAATAAAAGACAACATTAAATGGGCGGTTATGAGCCGTTAACATTAGAAAACATTTTGTGCTAAGCCTCTTGCTCGTGTTTCATTCGGTGACGTCACGGATTTTTAAAACCCAAGCAATGAGGCCTAGGAACTAGGCTGAGCGAAATTACCCTGGGTACAAAGTTGCCCTTTAATTCTGTCTTCTACGGAGCATGTGGAAAATGGCTTAACAATTTTGGATAGTAAATTTTATACGTAATATCCGGTCTTGATATTACGGTCAGAGATGGCTCATTTTTTATGTCCTGGATTTGTCCAAAAAACTATCCTGTTCAGGAATAGCAAAGTGGCGTTTGAACAACATAATAATTTTGATAGGAATTGAAAAAAAAAGGTAAAATATTGCATCCATTTTTGCGATTTATTGAATTATGTCCTGGTTTTCTAACTGGACAATTTAGTTATTAGGGACCTTAAGCATGTAGGACGCGAACGCGACGACGACGGTTATCAATACAATGGGTCATGTCATTGAAAAGAAATGAATAATTAAAGACCCATGATGGTTTTACGTCTTGCCTAGAACGGTTGAATTTCAGGACCCAGCGAGCCCTACCTCGAATTAGGCTTTATAGAATTGTCCTTAAACATAAAAACAATGTTTTTAACGCCTTATATCTCACTAAATCGGTACAATTAATAATATACAACAACAACTTTGCCATAGCATTTATTTAAAGGAGAATTTCAGCCGCGTCGTCGTCTTGTTGCCGTCCTACATGCTTAAGGTCCCTAATGTTGTATAGGACACGACACACGCATTATTACAACTGCTGGCATTCGAATACCTGGGACATATAGCAAGTGGTATTTTTGGGACAGATAACAACAGTTGTGAAAGCTGACAAATGGAGACGGACCCCATACCGTACGGCATTCATGGATTGACACTTGAAAGAGTCAACTTGAGTATTATATGCACTGAGTACAAAGTTATGAACAGTATCGTTCTATCGCTGCTTTATAAGGTTAAAAACTTTTTGCTTGCTTGTTGAATAAAACGATAGATTTGCATGCTTTCTATTTTGAAATCAACCTCCGTTGGTGTTAGGGGGTGTAATAAATATCGATCAGGGTTCGCTATGTAAATTCGCTCTTTTAACCCGCTTTCATTAAACAACTCAGAATCTTAGTATATTTTCAATCGAAAACAATACAAAAAGCAACGTTTACATGATTGACAGAATAGAGATTTACCCTAGAAATAACCTAATGTTCTATAAATCCCCACTACTTAGGTGTACATAAGTGTTATTGTGGAAAAAAATGTAAATATATAAGGTAATGTAAAGATTCTCACACTCCCGGCGTTGATCACACGTACAAGAGTGATCAAAATATAATTGTTAACCTCATAATAATGTGCAAATGTTGCTGCATTATCAATTGCGTGTGCATTTTGAAGCGAATGTAGCAAATGTTTTAAAATATAAACAATGCCCTCACAATTTCTCTCCCAATTTATATTGTGATTTTTAGATATATCTGGTATAACTTAAATAAAACGCCAATGATACTGTAGGAATGGTTGAAATTGCAAAGCTAGTGGGACCTATGTTGCCATGAACTAGTGGCGATAGAGGGTTTCAAGACTTTCAAGCAATATGACTGGTCACCTCAGCTAGCCCACCACTTACGTATCTTAATTACGCAGCGTTTCAGTATTCTATGCAGAGATCAGTGGTTATTATGTTCGCCAATACAAAACTCTGTTTCATTCAACGGGTCTGTTCATTCAACGAGTTTTTAACAGTTACGTGCAATTCATTGTGTTGTAGAGCATATCTGTGATAATAAGTGATGATACAAAAAGAAATACAGTGCCAAGCAATTTAGATATCCAAATCTGCCGATATTTTGGAGGAAGTTAAAATTGGATCTACTACAAAAGACCTGATGTGTCAAACTCACATAGTTTTGAGATACATTTGCAACGATATCGATTGCTCGGGTTTTAAGAGGGTAAGATGTCGAAATATTTGAGAATGAGAATTCGTTAAATCGTAAGTAATTGAAATTTAAATGCTACTTTTTAAATTATAAGACGCCATTTTGAATTTTAAATCATATGGGGAGAATAAAATTACTGGCTTGTAAACGTATTACTGCTCGGCGGCCATGTTGAACATGATATTTTAAGGTGCTTGTGATTTGTGAAATGAATGTAGATTAAGCTTCATGCATATAGGGCATGTGTGTATAACAAAGTTATGAATACTAATTAAGATTAGTTGTATCAAAGTTAATATATGAAATTAATATTCATAAAACTTTATGGAGAATTACACATTAACATGTGACCAAAATACTGCGCAATAATTGGAAGTTAGATTAATTATTCATGAATTTCATAATAAATGATAAAATTTTATCAGTAAAATATTCGTTACTGACTGCTCATGCAAGTATGATAGTTAAAAACTTCTATAAAAACATAATACGATGCTACTCGTATCGCAGGACATGACTGTATCAACAACTCCCTTGTCCCTTGAGCAGTTATCTTGAACTTGTCTTGGATTCCTCAGATACCTCTCCATCTTGGACGAGAGGCGCATGTTTCACAAGATTTTTAGGGGAAGATTTAACTTCTTGGGTGCGCTGTACATTGATTATTTAGGTTAATTTTTATTATTTTTTGGGTCCCTTGTCGTCGAAAATATGTCCATTTAAACAAATATCGCACCCTGTCCTAAATTACAACTTATCAACATCCCTTGGCGCGAAGTCGGTGAGGGAATTTTTTATGTGCAACGGAAGTACATTACACCAGAATGCATGCGGTCTGTATCATTTGTGTGGGCGAATTGACGTCTCTTAAAGGACAAACATGAATTTTGTGTCTTTATTGTCATTTTTCTACATCATGTTCCTTTGATTATCTCCTATAAATGTTGTTGTTATATAGGTGTTGTATATTTTGATTGTGATTGGTTCATTCGTGGTCACATGACTTTAAATAAATGCAATGTTTCCCGCCAGGGAAACAAGTGAAAAATTGTTGCCCGCTTCATAGAAAATAAAACAGTTATGGAGCCGAAAACAAAAAAACAACGTTTCTCAAACTTGTCAAGCGATGAAATTCAACTTTTAATAGAAAAAAAGGATTCAGAAAACACTCGGAAGTCAACAAAAAATGCTGTGGCCACCTTTATAGCATTTTGCAACGAAATTTCTTCGGACGAATCTCCACCGAGAGACCTTGATTACCTTGAAGGACTGTCGAAAGAAGAGCTTGACAAGCTTTTAGCTGCTTTTTACCCAAATGCCAGGAAAAAGAATCGCGAAAACTACAAAAAATCTGCTCTTATGGGTTTGAGGTTTGGTCTTCAGAGGCATTTTCTACTTAAAAAGAATATCAACATCATTAGTGATCAAGAATTTGCTAAATCAAATCAAGTTTATGAAGCAGCAATTGTTGAACTGAAACGGCAAGGTTTTGGCAATGTCGAACATCACAACTCCATTTCGCGCGAGGATCTCCAAAAAATACAGTTGTCCTATAATCCTGCTGTGCCAGACCCGAAAAGTCTTCAAGGATTTGTTTAATTCAACATCATGTTTCATCTAATACGTAGAGGAAGAGAAAACCTTCGACTTTTCACGAAGCAGTCGTTCGCCATAAAGACTGACGCGAGGAAAAAAGTTTGTTTATCAGGCGACAGACGAGCTAGACAAAAACCACAGAGGCCATGACAACGCCGACGATTCCACTGGCGAAGGTCGTATGTACGAACAAGACGGCCCATTGTGTCCAGTGAAGGCATTTGAACTGTATTTAGCAAAGCTACACCCTGAACTGTTTTGTTTATGGCAGAAGCCTAAATCGAAGGAACATTTTACTGAAGCCTCCGATGTTTGGTACTGTAATGTTCCTGTCGGTAAAAACACTTTAGGAGCTTTAATGAGCCGGATTTCCAAGGATTTGGAACTTTCACAAACATATACAAATCATTGTATTAGGGCGACAGCTGTCTCTTTACTTGACGACTGTAATTTTGAAGCTCGTCATATTATGCGTGTCTCTGGGCATAAGTCTGAGAGTAGCATTCGCTCGTATTCAAGACGACTCTCAGAGATGAAACAAAAACAAATTTCACATTCGCTCAGTAGCGCTTGCTTTACAGAAGCTAGTACTTCAAGTGAAATTGCACTTGTAAACGAAGCTCGAAACGAAGCAGAAGAAATTGTTTGTAAGCAAACTACAAACAGCTCACAGTCACCTATATTGACTTAGAATTTTGCCTCCCACAGCCAAGAAACGGTCAATTTTAATTCTGGGGCTTTTGCCGGAGCAAATGTGACCATTAACTTCTACAAAAAATGACATTTCAAAGCGAAAATATTGTTTGTAATTTAATTTAATCGTTGGCTGCATGCGAAGGTTTTGAGAACGCTTGTTTGTTACATTATAAAGTCGGGTCACATAGGCTTAATTGTTGATGGTAAAGTGTTTATAATATAAAATTGTTGTGTAACATGTATGCTTTTGTTCCTATATAACAAAGCACTTAATGTACGTTCCCTCGGGAAATAGTGAGTTTTGTTTTCCCTCGAGTCTGAATGTTTCCCTCGACTTCGTCTCGGGAAACATTCAGACTCTTGGGAAAACAAAACTCACTATTTCCCTCGGGAGCATACATTAAGTGTATAATATTTTTGCAATTTTTTTCTTGACCATGGATTGGGTATTGGGTCTAACCCGTGAGAAGTCCAAATCAATTCGTGCGAACTGCAGTAAAATAAAATTAAATCACAATGTAATAGGCTTTTCATTAAGTCGATACTACACATTTATAACTGTTTTTGCCAACATTTTATCTTAGTCTGTTAGCTAGTCTACGTGCATTTTAGTTCATTCTTAAAAAGCGGTTTTAAAATCCAAACATCAATAGCAATCCACAGTCCTATCTTCCATACCTATAGCTACCTAAAAAGCAGAAAAGTTAAATAATTATTCATTTGTAAAAATTTATGGTATCATTTCACAATGCCACTTTTGCCAAAAATTTGATACAGTCAGCGGTTAATGCATTAGTACGCGGGCGCAAGTGAGAATGACGTAACATTGCGAAGTCAAGATGACTGCTAAATTTGGGTTAAGAATGGAGTAACTAGTGTTTTATACAACGTGCCCCAGGATATCACTTGTATCAAGTCACATTGCATAACAAGAAATAAAATGTTTATTTTTATACTTTTTTTGCGTAGCGGTAAATTATGACAATAGTTTATGACAATTGACTGCAAATTTTAAGTTATCCTAAATATTCATTTCTTCAGAAATTGATTGTTTTCGCATCAAAATATTAGCATAACCAGGGATAGGTCTTCTGGAATTTGAAATAAATTTAAATTACAGAACAGTCGAGTATTTTGGATACAAATCGAGTTGATTATGTGTTCTGACGAACTAGACTTGTGGACAAGAAAACGGTTGTAATAAGACGGTAATATGAGAACCTAAACTTGCCATGCAGCTCGCCTAGTGATGTCAATAAATATGGCAAATATCACTGTTTGTTGACATACAGTTTAAATCACATTTAGAAGCGGTTTGCTCATTCAAAATACGTCTTATTTTGCTTCATTGTGATTGTTTGAACACTGTTCTATAATCAAAGACTTGCGGAAATCATTATACAAATTTCGTAAAGGAAAATCAAAGACGGATGGACAAGTAAGTCGCGATTTTCTTATATGTTTTTCGCTTTTGATTGTGTGAACAAGGCTAATTAATTATGCGGTTTTTCTACCTCGCGTCATCATAATGTTGAATCTAATTTTTGGTCATGTTCAGACGTATTTCACGCGGTCGTTTCCCGCACTTCAATCGAAATACAGGGTATACCACGTTTTGCTAATTTACGGCTGAAATGGAAAACGAGCCAAATGTATGCTAATACTTGCATACAAAAAAACTGAGGCTACATTTAAATAATAAAGCATTTAAGTCTTGTTACTTACAACTAGGAGTTGGATTGCTCCATACGCCGTTTGACAGACATGTAGTAGAAGATGCCCCATACAGATAGTAATGACTGTGATCGCAACGGAAAGTCACCGTTGATCCTTCAGTATACGTACTTCCTCTTGCGTACCCATTACGTGGGTACCCAGGATTCCCGCACGACACTAAAATTGGCACGCAACTCAATCAGTTTCAAAGGATGAGTATTGCAAAAGTGGCGTAGTTCACCTTAGAGTAATTGAGTTTATCAATACTGACGTACCCAGACAAGAAAACCCGTCACCTTCATAACCACTTCGACATCGACAAATATAGGAACCAGCAGTGTTGCTACAATCTGCGTTTGAGTCACAAGATTGCAAACCGTCAATAATTATGGAGCACTCGTCCACATCTATTAACGTAAATTTCTTGTTATATGGTGCACGTATGGTTATATGGCTGGTTAGATAGCACGATAGGTGTTAATGAGAATACGTTTTAAACAGTTTAGAAATTCTACATCATGCGGTGTTTCTTAGAACAGTTTAAATGTGTAATCTAAGGAAGATCTATATTGCACCATCGCTTTGTACGGTATCAATATAGAGTTGGGCCAGGTGAATATTTTGGTTTTGGCGTCTAATCTTAATTGTTGCTTTCCAATCCGACCTTAAACACACAACAAAATTGAGGAAATATCTCCCACACAGCACACTAAATCCACGAAACAATATAACGATAGGTATATGTTTGTATTACTTATGGACGTAAATTGGTATTTTTCAATGTGCAGAGCGCAAGGCATGCCATCTTGCATCTGCTCACTTTACCTGTACATTTTCGACCGTTACCGGTATACCCTTTCCTACAATGACACGTGTAGGAGCCCGCTGTGTTGATACAATTGGCACTTGGCGCACAAATGTTTAGGGAGCACTCGTTCACATCTATTCCAGAAAGAGAATAGGCAAGTGTCAACGTACACAAAATGCAAGAAGACTTAAAGATATGGCCAATTAACACCATAATATTTTTTCGTCAGTTAGTTGTACGAAAGCTCGACAGCGTTGTCCACCGGAGAATGCCCTTGCCTGCATGTTTTTTGTAGAACCTTGGTTCAACTTTCATATTTTTCAATTGGCGGTTATTTATAAGAATTTTTAGCTTAAATCTGTTGTTTAAATGCTTTTAAACATTTTTAGAACGGTTAAAGAGGTCACATTTCCCTACTAGCGTAGGGTACCGCAGATGCACTTACTGAGAACCGAATTCAATACCTCTTTTAACATTTGTTTTAGTAGTGAACATCACAGCTTTGTTCGCTCGCATTTGTGTTGTTTCACATTTCCCTTCCTTGGGACGTTGGTGTTGCCGTTGGTATGACGTCATAACGTTGGATACGGCACGTGGGTATAAAATTTGTATCACTCAGTAAGGCGTCACTCATTTGACATGACAATTTGACATTTCACTTTTAGCCATTCACAGGCTGAATGGCTGAAATAATAGGCTGTATTTTAACAATTAAAAATACTGATAAATAGGTTTGTTGTTGCTAGTGAAATCGTGATGAATTTATTCTAGTTTTTAGTGATCATGAAAAACCTCGCTCTATACATTGGTTAATGAGATAAGAATAAAAAATGTGGTCAATAAAAATTCCATTAAAAGATTTGCAAACTGATCATGAACTGTGAAATATACCTCTGCATTCTTTTCCATTGCCGGTAAAGCCACTTCGGCAGTGACATGTATATGAACCGTCGGTGTTTTTGCAATCAGCATTAGGGTCACAAGCGTGGGTATTTTGGGTGCACTCATCATAATCTAATGTCAAAAGAAACAGTACTGTTTCAGTTGAAGAATTCAAGCTTGTACTGCTAACTCAAACTTATAACTCAACGTTTCTCCTGATTGAAAGCATTGCAAAAAAACTACCACGTCCGTAATTTCAGATTTTACCTTTCATACACGTATAGCCTCGACAATTGTCACATGATGATGATTGCCAGTGGTATTTCGTATCTTTCCCTGAAATCTGAACACAGTCCTCAGTCTCGCTGTAAGGTGTGGATGCTTGTGGATCCCAGTATGTGTAGGAGGCAGGTCCGCCATCGCTCCACAAATATATCCCTTCATTTGCTTGATCATTCAATCCGATCCAAGATGGCTGCTTTCCATAATGAAGATTTTGAACGAAGACATCCTCTTCAGCACTTTCAATTCTAGCCAGAGTTGAACCATAACCCATGCACGTTGTTGAGGCGTTTTTCCACGTTTCACACGAAGTTTTTATCTTATAACAATATCCTCCGAAGTATATCCAGCCCGAATCACAGATTTCTGGCAAAAAGATGTGAATTGTGCGGGAAAAATTGCGAAAAATACAGTCTCGCAAAATTGATTAATGCACATTTCCAACACTAATTATTAAGCGTCTAAATGTTTTTCAAGAAGATTTAAGTCACTTACTACATGACGTACTTTCAGAGAACATATCTAGAGCGAAAGTCTAATAAAAATTGCACCTGGCAACCGTTGCTATGGCAACAAAGACGTTGAAAAATCCGTCAAATTGAGTTTGTTGACATAGTAGAGACTTTAGCTTAACCAGTACGAAAAACCGCGAACGGCCTAATTTCAAGTCAATCTCACCTCCTAAGACAACATGGGATATTGTAACAGGATCATAACCATTGGTGCTATGTAACTCTTTAAAACATATTCTAAAAGATGCATCTGTAATAGTCTACAATGATGTAACAAGAAAAATTAGGTTACAATCTTCCTTTTCAAAACCTAATTTTATACGGTAGATTACGTTATTTAATGTACAATGAAAGGATAATATATTAACATTATCTTCAAAATTACAACTGTACGTGAAACATCATCCGTTGCGGCATGCAGTAGATATTATGATAGGTTTTACTAGATCATAGTATCCTTCAAGTCGTCCTCTCTATCTAAACTTGGCTAATTCGATTTCAGATCGATTGAAGTAAGCCTTGGGTCAAGCCACATTCACATCTGGTTGACAATGGCCTGCAGTGCTTGCCACACGATCATTTCTTGGCAAAGTTTCCAATTTTTAGGGATACTGAGGTAATTTACAGGCACATTATGTGAAACAAGCATTTTACTGGTGAAATTCAGTATAAACAGCCACGTAATGATGGTCCCCGATGTATTCCCGGCGCATTATAATTAACTTGTACTAGCTAGATCTTCAGTTAACATATTAAGACTTCCTGTATTTTCTAAAACGGGGTTTTTAGGTGTTTTGAAGACTGACTTAATTAACTCATCATATATTAGTTGTTACAGTGAAGTCGCAGTTTGTCTATATTGCAACTGCACTAAGAATTAGTGTACCAAATATAATAACTGTCTAGTATTCTCATTCTATGTATAACTAAAAGTTGGATAGATACCTCAATCCATGTGGAGATTCCATTGTTTTTTGGATCAACATTATTTCCTGATGTATTGTGCTTCGCAGAAACTAACACCGTTGGTGGTTTGGTATAGTTGGCATTAAAAGTGACATCCTGAAAAATCATCGCTCAAAACTTTTGATTTATGACCCGCGAATATATTTATGATGATTGATAACTTAATAGTTCGTAAGTTAATTTTCGTTGTCATTTTATGCAAAAATCATTACAAACTTACCTTGCATTGTGCATAATTGGTGCTGGACGAAGGATTCTTGGAAGTCCAGACGAAATGATTGGAACCTTGTTCTGTGAAAATAGGCCGTTCGAGAGTTTCAAATGCAATCCAATTCTAAAAAAATAAAATCATGCATTCACTTAAGAATATAGGCATTAATTATATACATAGAATATTGTGCCGTATATTTTTTGTATAATTTATTTTGAATGCGAATAAGATTGTCATAGACAAGAGTTGGCGCATTTTTCAAATTTCTAAAGTCTTAATTTCTAAATGACCCGCGCGCTGGAACTTTCAAAAACATAAATTTTTCAGTGGAACAAGGATAAAAGCCCAAACTTTTACATACCCAAACATTTTGGAACTTTACGTAATGTATGCACTGTTCAATACATAAGTCGCTATTACTGCATTAATTTGTCTTTGCAAGATATGCTCTAAATACACACATTCATGCACCGCTAATACCTCAAGCTGACTTCTAAAATGTGCAGTGTGCATATGTATGTATGCGCTTTCTCTCTCCACTCATCAACAAGACGTTGAATATATTATACTAAGCTGATGCCGCGATGTCTTAGCACATAATTTTACTTAATTGCACGAGGTTTATAACAGTGTTTGAATCGGCAGAGGTTGAATTATCGCATAATATATATTAATATGTATTTAGTTGACTCACCACGTAAATATCTTGGTGAGGTCCATCAAAGTTTTGTAATTCACGCATACACACTTTAAATGAGTATCTAATGACGTCTTCCAACCACAGTGATGCAGCGTCGTGTTTAAGACCAAGTCGATGATGTTCTGCTGTCACCAAGACCGTTGGTGTTGAGTAAAAAGACCCCTTTGGCAAAGTGAACTGATTAATTTTCTTTTGTCTAAACATTTCGGATAGCATTTTCCCATTTCAAATTCTCATTTGAGATGACAAGAAAAATATATCTCTGCATAAAGACTATTTCTCACTATTAATGAATTATTTGTGGTGAGGTTCGACGTATAGAATTGGAGAGGAATTTAAGGTATATCTATAGCATGCTCTATGAATTCAGTTTGAAATATATTTTATCGGCCAGGGCTTACCGATGATATGTTCACATATTGGCACTTGGATCCAGTCCACCATTCTGGAATCAGCACCGATCCGGCCAACCCTCCGCTGGGAGCGCCTTGATAAGCCATATACTCAACAGTAGCAAATCCATGAGGCGGCCCTTCATTTCTTCCTGACTCCATTACACAAAATTTGAAATGAGTGTCGCTCACATCTTCTACCCACGATACTGCGGCTTCATGAACTTGCCCCGAGTCATTCACGTGGCTCACGCTGATCTGCACGTGAACAGGCTTGTTCGGATAGAAAGATAACAGGTCGAATTGAACAGTTTGACAATGTGAACGAGACCAGTTAGGAACATCAGCGACGTATCTTCGGCCTCTTGTGATAGGAAAATCTAAAAGAAGTAATAAAGTTAACAAAAATCCTGAAAATGAAGTTCTTTTAAAATAGACCAAGATAATTTTTATTACCGTACATCCTTTTAAATTAGCGTTTCGCTATAGCGCTTAAATCTATATATCACATTGTTATATACGTGCTGTGTATTTTAAATGTGATTGGTTCATTCGTAGTCACATGACTTTAAATAAATGCAATGTTTCCCGCCAGGGAAACAAGTGAAAAATTGTTGCCCGCATATTGTCATAACAAAGTTTTTTGAAATGAAATTGTCGTGTAACATGTATGTTTTGGTTCCTATATAACAAAACACTTAATGTTCGCTACACCTCGGGAAATAGTGAGTTTAGTTTTCTCTCGAGTCTCAATGTTTCCCTCGACTTCGTCTCGGGAAACATTTAGACTCTTGGGAAAACAAAACTCACTATTTCCCTCGAGAGCATACATTAAGTGTATAATATTCGAGTCCTCAACCGTTGATTTTTATACAGCTCTTCTTTTTATGTGATTATGTCCTTCTCTTTTTTTTTGATTGTTTAAATTACTATCAGCGAAATCAATTCCCATTGGTTTTAAAAAAGAAAAACATTTCATTGTTATGGTATTTTGGTAACTGCATATAGATATATTACTCCGTAAAGAGTAAACAATTTGGAAAATATAATTTAGTTTACTCTTTACGGAGTTTCATTGTTTTCTATATTACTTGACTTAATTAAAAGACTGTCACGCGATGCAATTTTTCTTGCAACTTGTATGCAATGCAATTCTTCTTTTAAGAAATGTAAATTAAGTATAAAGTTGCCTAAACGTATTTACATCTCTTGAAAGTAAAATAGCTTTGCAAGTTGCAAGAAACATTGCACCGTGTAACAGCTAGGGCCTTCACGTACACTAGCTATACAGGGTGTCTAAAAAAACGCAACCACTTAAATATGCAGAACATTAATACAGGTCTAAAGCACAATAAATAAGAACCTCTGGGAATTGAAAATGCCTCTTAATCCTTCATTTAAAATGCTAAAAGTAATTTTAGCTGAACTATGGTGCAAACCCGTGAACAGTATTAATATTCTTGCATATTTAAGTGGTTGCGTTTTTTTGAGACACCCTGTATAGAATCATGTATATTTCATAACAGCGTTTACCTCTGCAACTCCCGCGATGATAAATCGTATAGTTTGCTTTGGTTTGACAAACTTTTAGTTGGAATAAACAAACATTGTTGAAAGTTTGTCCGTTTGAAGCGCAGAGTTTTTGTTCGACTGAAGGACAATCTGTCACACAGACACATCGTGCATCGTAGGGACCAAATGCACGACAAACTGCGAACATTTTACATGTAACGTACAGACATGGGTCAAGATCTACGGAAAGAAAAAATTGGTTGATTTACTCATTGCAACGAAAATGAACTAAGTATAAAAAGTATAAAATAAATGAAAAAGCTAGGCTACATTTCCTACACTAAGCCTGATCGTGGCCTCGCTGTGATTGGGATATGCAGAATGTAGGAATACTCATACTATTCGACATGGCCGTATTAGTTATAATAATAATTGTACAATATATATACCTCCTACAGCGGAATAGTCGACTGTTATTGGTTCGTGATTCCCAATTATTCCAGGGAGGTCTTTTATGCACACCTCAAATGCTGTGACGCTAACAGCCTGCGGTAATAACATTAACTAATTAAAACAACAACAGGGTCTATAGTGCGTTGGCCACTCTTTCCACTCTATTATTTAAATTCGAAATGAAACGCGGTTTTAAATTTATATTTGTCCCAAAGCATGGACACCGTAAATATAGAAAACATTTTTTTTTCTAATTTGCATTGTTCAACAAGAAAATTAAATCGCAAATAACTATTCTTTTTGTGAACAGATTTTCAATGTAATATTTACCAGCCCGTGAAATTTTTATGATTGGTGTTTAAAAAATATTAATTTGCGTATTTTTCTGAACACTCAAAGTTGTTAATAATACTTTGTACATTTTCAAAGAGGCCGGTTTCTCACTCGATCTGCACGAGTAACGGTCAAACATAATGTTAAAAGCATTGGATTAGAAGATGGCTTCAAAAAGCTTTACAAATCTAAAACAATTAAATCTTTGAAAAAAATTAAAAATTGGATACCCACGACCGAACATTTTAGTTAAATTTCAAAGGATGCAAAAACATGCATGCTTTTTTCCTTTTTATGATTTTAAAATTCTTTCGTGGATACAGTGCTGATTAAACGTATAGTCGATGTAACCCAAGCAAACTTATGAAAAGTTGTTTTTTGATCGAACTTGTTAACTTCCAGTGAAAAAGATTGATTTGAATTCAATTCTAGGTAACTCACTTTAATATAGTCACCTTAATCCACACTGCAATATTTTGGTCCGTGTCCAATAAGTTTTGTTTACGGCGGGCGCTGACAAGAACTACGGGCGGCTCATAGAAGCGGCGTGAGAAATTTCGGACCTGTAATGTTGAAATCAATGGTGAAAACTAATACTAAAATACTCGCTGTGAATAAACTTGATTTAAAACATTGGAAAATAGTATTTACCTGACAATATGCATAATTATCATCAGAAGAGGGTTGATCAGTGTTAGGGAACATTATTGAACTAAGGTCCGTCATGTTCCCGCTGAATGTATTTTCCATCGCAACCCAATCCTGAAAACCAATACAGATGTAATTATGTAAGTCATAATCCTGTAACAAAATTTATGTTTTCTTTGCTTGTTATAAAAGCATCTGGCTTGAAGTACTTACGCCTGTATTCAAAAAGCTCACTCACACCCATACTCATCGAGTGTGACATATAAATTTCGTTAATGCTGATCAATGAGAAAGTTTTTTTCTCAATAGATGGAAAGATATAAGGTAAATTACTGAAAATCCAGCCCCTGTTCGGCTGAAAATACCGCCATTAAAACGTTATGAGAAGATTAAGATCTCCCACTCAATGAGTTTGAGTGCATGTGAGTGAGCTTTTAGAATACAGGCGTTAATTATTTGGATTAATTACTTGTGTTTAATATAGAAGATGTATAAGTAAAAAGCTTATAGGATCTTATAATTTGAGTTGCTGGAGGAGTAGGTTTTTATATAAATGATCACCTAAAAACTAAAATTAGATCAGATTTGTCTTCCTGCACTGATGAATATGAATCACTTTGGCCGGATTGAAATTGTAAGTGATTTTGAGCGCAATTTATTGTGCGGTGTTATTTATAGACATCCAAGAGGCAATATTGATAACTTCATGAACTACATAAATATGGTAATTGAAAGGGTTCACCGGGAAAATAAATACTGCACTATTATAGGTGATTTTAATCTCGATCTTCTTAAATCTGAATTACATCAAGATACTAATAATTTTCTAAATACTCTTAGTTCCTTTCATTTTCAGCCCCAAATTCTGCAACCAACTAGAATTACAGAGCATTCAGCTACACTTATCGATAATATATTTTTCAATTCACTGGATCATTTCACAATTAGTGGGAATGTAATATATGATCTTTCAGATCATCTTCCAAATTGTTATTACAAAGTACTCCACTCTTCCATCTTCAACAAAATTCTACAAGAGGGATTATTCAACTCTTGATGAATGTGCCCTATTATACGACATTCAGGCTATCAAATGGGATGAAATGCTTGAGTTGGATCAAAACCCTGATAATTTGTTTGATTTATTTTATAAAAAAGTTGTAGAGGTGGTTGATTTCCATGTTCCAGTTAAACAATTATCAAAACATGAAATTAAAACAAAATCTAAACCATGGATAAAACCAGCTATTAAGATATCAATACGGAAAAAGAACAAATTATATAAAAAATATTTAAAAACAAAATCTAGCTATTATCATACCAAGTTTAAGTTGTACAGAAACAAGTTGAATCATCTGCTTAGAGTAAGTAAACGTAATTACTATAGCAATTACTTTGATACTAAGGGTGGTAATAGCAGACAAATTTGGAAAGGCATTAAAAGTTTAATCAATATTAAGTCAAAGTCATACCAGGTCCCCAAAGTTATAAATGATAATGGTTGTGAATTAACTGAAGCTAAATCTATGGCAAATGCTTTTAATAGTTTCTTTTCTAATGTTGGATGTAATTTAGCTAATAAGATTCCAATAATGGATAAATCTCCAATTGAATATTTAATTCCGGCAACTTCTCATGACAGTTTCTTTCTTTCTCCAGTAACAGCAAATGAAATTGAGAAAGAAATTGCTAATCTAAACAGTTCTAAAGCAACCGGCCCCTTTAGTATACCTGTGGTAATTTTAAAATTAATTGTAAATGTTGTGTCACAACCATTAGAGACCATATTTAATGTTTCACTTTCAACTGGTATTGTTCCAACAAGTTTAAAATTAGCAAAGGTCATTCCTATATTCAAAAAGGGATTGCAGAACTGTATAAATAATTATCGACCTATTTCGCTTCTTTCCATTTTTAATAAAATTTTAGAAAAGCTTGTGTATAAAAGATTACTTCAATATCTCGAAAAGAAGGAAATTCTATACTACAAGCAATTTGGTTTCCGCACTTCATATTCTACTACTTATGCATTAATAAGTATTGTTGATAAAATTAATGAAGCAATAGATCATCATGATTATGCTTGTGGTGTCTTCTTAGATTTAAGTAAGGCATTTGATACAGTCAATCATGATATTTTGATTAAAAAATTAGAGTTTTATGGAATCCGGGGACTTGCTAGTAAGTGGTTTTCATCCTATCTTTCTAATAGAAGACAGTTTGTTTGTGTGGATAACATATTATCGGACGAATTAACAATTTCATGCGGTGTTCCTCAAGGTTCAGTCCTTGGTCCTTTGCTTTTTCTTATCTATGTTAATGATTTTGCTAACTGCTCTAAATTGTTGGAATTTCATCTTTTTGCGGATGATTCAAACTTGTTTTATAAAAGTGATAGTCTTATAACTCTTCAGACTAATTTGAACAAAGAGTTAGTTAAAGTACATGAATGGTTATGTGTAAATAAGTTATCCCTCAATGTTGAAAAATCAAATTTTGTGATATTTCATCCTAAGCAACGCAAAATAGAAACAAACATACAAATTATTGTAAATCAACAATTATTAAAACAAGAACTCTCAATTAAACACTTGGGTGTAACGTTAAATTCTAAACTTAATTGGAAGGGTCACATTAGCTTTGTTGAAAAGAGGATAAAAAGAAGTATTGGTATTCTATCAAAACTTCGCTATTATTTAAATTTAAGTACTCTTAAAAATCTTTATTATGCACTAATATATCCTTTTCTAATGTATGGCATACTTGTATGGGGTCACACTTATCGAGCTACTCTCCACCCACTTGTCATTTTACAAAAAAGAATGATCCGTATCATTACCTTTACTAATTATTATGAACATACAAGCCCACTCTTTAAGATATTAAATATTATGAAAATCTATGATCTGGTGACCTTCCATGTTGCTGTATTTATGAAAAAATTTCATGATCAACTCTTACCATCTACTTTTGATACTTTTTTCAAACCTGTAATTAATGTACACGAATATAATACAAGATTCTCTTTAAATCAAACATTTTTCACCCCCAAAGTTAGAACAAACTATGGAATTTTTAATATTAGGTTTCAGGGCACCAAAATATGGAATGCAATTGCTGAAAATATTAAATCTCTCCCAATGAAAAAGTTTAAAAAAAAGAACAAGGAGAAAATTCTTGAAAAATACTAGTTTAATTTCATTTCATGTTACTGGACTGTAATTATGAAAAATACTAGCTTAATTTCATTTCATGTTACTAGGCTGTAATGTGTTGTGTTCTATGTTGAAAAATACTAGTTTAATTTCGTTTCATGTTACTAGGCTGTAATGTGTTGTGTCTATGTTGTCTTGATAAAATACTAGTTTAATTTCATTTCATGTTATTAGGCTTAAAGGTTTGTGTTCTATGTTGTTTAATTATCATACTGACCTGAAATATACTGGCTGTCTAGATTTTAGCCCATATGGTTGTTATAGACGGTCAGTACTCATATACTATTTATATTCGATTTCTATATGTGTGTATATATATATATGTTTCGATATATGTATGTATATATGTGTATATATATTTACATTTATGTATAATTGAATGAGTGAAAAAATATATGTATGTATGTATGTATGTATGTTATTTGTTTCAGGCCTTAGTGCTCATATGGGAGCCCAACCTGCATGGCATAGCCGGGCTGGTTCGCTTTTGCTGGCTCAGCTTGATGTTTTTATATGATTAGCCCGTTAAAGGCAAGATCTCGCATCTTTCAGTCAAGATCTCGCCAGACCCAGGCTGGCCCGATTCCATATGAATGCAACTATGCAATTATAGTGAAATAATATGTGTACTGCCAAGCTAACGTGTAATATGAACAGGCCCTTATGCTAGCATGGTCGGACTCTGTCTTATTGTTGCACGTTCTGCCATTTGCATTTGAATTGTTTAGTTTTTTGGCATAACGTACTCGAAGCCTTTGAAGAACTTTTGTTGCTTATACGGTAGTATACTCAGACATAGAAAATGTTGTTTAAATCAACAGCGTACTTACAATATGCATATTCTCGTGAGTTCCAGAGAAGGAAACCATTTCCCTCAAGCAAACCCGAAATTGCTTTTCTGCCGCATCTTCTGCCCAAAAGGTCATCACGTCTTTTCGTTCGGTATTTCCAACGCGTCGGACGCTAAGGAAAATCTTTGGTGTGCCCTTGAAAGTCTGGAACAGCAGAAGGTTAATCTGTTCTTACCCCTCAAATTTTATCATATGCATTTCCTTTTTTCACGAAAAATACAGGTTCAACAAATATAGTACCTATAACACTGTTGTTTAGTAAAAGATTTACCTTTGCAAAACTGATGTCGGTACAAACGCTTCCACTCGTGAAACCGTTGTAAGAAACAGTTCCAGTCACGACCCCCGGTGGTAAGAAACCGTCACTGAACGCAAACCAATTGAGGGTCATTCTTCCTGTTGGTTCAGCTGGTTCCATAAGACAGATTGAAAATGAATTTTTATCAACTGAGTCTAAAATCGCGACCGATGCCTCATTTTCATTTTCAGGGTGATCTTCATAACTCAATGAAGGTAAAACTCTGATCGTTCCTCCACTTTGAAACGGAGTTGGAAAACGAACAGTTTCACAATAGAAACCGTCGGATGCACTTTTAGTGATGTTTACTTTGCCAAATTTTTGTTCCACTATGGCAGCTGTAACAAAATTTAAATCTTCCTTGACATACTGAAATGCATTTATGTAGAGTTTGCCTTAAAGGTTAAATGAAAATGAAATGAACGTATATGTGAATATGGACAAATACCTGACATGAGCTGAAAATTGCCAGCTGTCGCGAGCAAAATAAGCGAAAACCACATCTTAAACTCCTTAAAAAAATTCATATAATTTGTATCGGATTTTTGTCGCATCGAATGCAATTCAAACAATAGATATAAAGATGTTAATGTAGTTTATCATCTCGTTACCTATTGTTTGAATTGCATTTGAGGCGACAAAAACGCGACGTTTAACTTTGGTTTAACCCATACATTTACTTTTAAAAAGCAAATATATTTTTAACACAATTATTATAATATTCTTGCAGATTACATAACGATGAATCATTTTTACTGCTCTGCACGGGGTCCATAAATTCCAAATTTTGGTTCTAGAATTTAATTTATATCCTTCTGAAAAGTGAAAATTCGCGTCGTTACGAAATCGCATCTAATCTGTTCTTTGATTTTACCCGTCATTTCGTATTTTGACAAGCCTTATGGGCGATACATAATACGACAAACGAGTTGTAATCCAAAGGCAAAGCGATAAAGATAATTTGAAGTGTGTATAATTCCACTCGAAATTAAGACCCTCAGAACCATTAGGATCAATATTTCAGCTGAGTTAACGACCTCGCGAGGCAGGGCTTAACAGCCTGTGTTTTAGCTCTCCGAGGGAATTCACTGGGTTTTTTTTCAAGGAGCTAAATTACGCGCGCCCGTCTGTGTTAGTAGGGAGCTTTTATTAGTAGTGACTACGAGTACGACTACGAGTACGAGATTCGTCATTATCGCGCGTTGTTTGCTCACGCTATCAGCCAAAACTGGTAGTCGTTGGGCTGTAGAGTACGACGGAAATTTGCCAAAAAACTCGTACTCAAAAGCTCAACGACTACGAGTTTTGACTGATGGCGTAAGCGGCAAACAACGCGCAGGAATGACGAATCTCGTTCTGGTAGTCGTACTCGTAGTAACTGCTAAAGCTCCCTATTATTACTCATCTCCGAATCGGTGTTAAATTTAGCCTATAATTATTCCATTGGGTGTTCAATTACCTCGATCTGAACATGACTAAGCAATTTGCGATTGTTGAAATACACGGGGTGTATAAAAAAAGGCGAAACTTAATACTCTAAAATTCATATTGTTCCTATTTAAAAGCAATAATTATAGTATTATAGATATTAGATCTCTGCCAAAATCGCCTTTCTCGCGCACCCAATTTTGTTTGGACAATGATACCACTTATGAACAAGCAAGCTTACGATTGTATAAAGCAAACAAAGTGGATTTTCATGAATATTAAGTGTACATTCATTTCATTGAATGGGACTATAACTCAATTGAGCTATGCCATTTACTGATCAAACACATCGAGTTTATATATCATTGATCTGGTGCACGAAATATTTACATGACGCAATTAACTCTTGTCAAAAAGGACGTAAAATGTTTGAATTTCCTTTTGTTGGATCAAGGTAAAATTTTTCATCGAACTGAAATATGCGCACCGCAGTGAACAGCGAAAAATTCGACTAAAGCCGCAAAAAACCTGAAGTTGAGAGGTCAAATTTCATGGGTATAAATTCTAACCCCAATTTCAATGCTTTTACCGATGAGAATAAAAAAGAAAATAACCCTGTAGATCTAAAATTCCAACAATTTATGCACGCCTAAAAATAAGGCAACCTTGATATTTGTGAATAGATCGTGACGGTATGAAAGGGCATATAGACTTACCTTTGTTGAATTTGGAATAATTTATTCGCTGATAATACCTTCAGTTAGATATACTGCTCGTAAAGTTGATATTAACCTGGGTCAAAAGAAGAGCTGCCAGCGATTTACAAAGTGACCTCAATTGCTCGAGCAGTCGTAGATGTATGTATCATGTGATTTAGATTATCTTTGTCTGACCTCGGATGACTTTTTTGAAATGAAATCGTATCTGTTCAAAAAACGACGCAGGAGTTTATTTGATTTCATTGCGAAATGGAATTTGGGCGAGTTATCGATATTGAATATGGCACAAGAAATGATAAATAATCGTTTTGTTTCATTTTTTTCAGAAAACTAAGTAAAGTTTAAATGAAAGATTTTGACAAACGTCATTTGTTTCACGCTGCACTAGCTGATAATACTCGATTGGTAGTATTAAGCCCAAAAGCATTTCAGTACTTCTAAAAGCCGTGCAACAGACCTAATGGAAAATATTTCGGTCTGTATAATATTACCTATTTAAAGTTTATGGTATACTTCTGTGAGTTGATTAATCGATATACCGATCCAGCCGACAGTTTTGCTCAGGAGTGCTGAAGAGGAAGCTAAAATATCTTTGAAAGTGCAGTTCTTAGAGATTAAAAAGATATATAGCTATATGCATTCGACAAATTTAGGGGTAAGTAATATAAGCCAAAAATAATAATATATTACATTAATTCTGCTGAGCAGCGTAGTCAAGTACTAAGACAAAACAGATTCGGACAAAATGGAATAACGATCGAGTTGTCGCAAATAGAAACAATGCCCTCGTAATTTCTAAAAGAAATGCTTGGCATAACCTAATTTTAAGGGATGTTAATTTGTAGAGAGTGTTTAAAACGCTCAAAAAAGGCTATCGATCTTAATATGTTTGTGTTTCTCAACTTGAGATGCCTCAGGAGTAGAATTGCTTTGGAAATTGCAAGGGAGGTTAGCGGGAACTATAGACTACATAGAGGGTTACGTGATCATCTTTGAAGCTCAACAAAGAGCTTACCTAAATTAAACAGCGTTTCAGTATGTTATAAAGAGATCAGTGGTTATGTTGATTATGTTCGCAATTACAAAACTCTGGTTCAACGTGTCTTTAACAATGACGGGCAATACATTGCCTTGTAGAGCAAATCTACAGCAAATCTGTGTAAGCTATTATACGTAATAAGTGATAATGCAAAAAGAAATACGGTGCCAAGAAATTTAGATGTCCAAATCTGCCGATATTTACGAGGAAGTCAAAATTGGATATACAAGAGACCTAATGTGTGTCATATAGTTTTTATACAATTGCAACGACAGACATTGCTCGGGTATTAACAACATAACTTATCGAAATATATGAAGATGAGAGATTTGCAGAATTTTTGGATTTACTAATCGTGAGTTAAAAAAATTGAAATTTTTTAAATTGAAACTTTTTAAATTACAAGACGCCATTTTGAATTTTAAATGATGCCATGCTACTTGTACCGTTCACATTTAGGAGGGTAGACTAAGGATAAGTGTTTCAAGATGTTCGTTGACTTTTATGGTTATCTTAAATCAGTGAAAAACGAAAGAATTAGAATGTTTTCTTTATTTGGAATCTTGTGAATGAACTCGGGCGGGTGTTTCGTGATATGCATGTTGTCCGGGATCTTCCTAACCAGTTAATGATTTTTTTGACCAATAAACACGCTTTTCTGCACAACGTTCTGACACGTTTTTTGCATATTTATTTTTTGTACAAAGATACGACGACACTTTTAATGGGACTTCTAGTCTTCTCGTTTTTATGACTGTATGACCTTAATTTTCTGCCACCTCATATTTAAAAACAATATTAAATTCTTACAAAGAGAAACAACTTTATTATTATAATATTGTGCGTAATTACAATGATCTATTGTAAAGGCTATTGAAAAAGAGCGTATTAATTGGTCTCTACGCGTATAGTATGTACATGGTGTCGCATTACAAAGACTTAGTAATAGTTAAAGTTTGTGTGCCTAAGCACCCTGATGGGACTCACAGGTGTATAAATGTTTCACATAAGCATTTTTATGCGTGATGACAGTAAAGTTTCGTACCCACAAATGATTTTTATTACAAACAATTACAATTTACAGATGTGGATATAAGTTTACTGAAAGCTCAAGCACCATGACCTTCGAAATGTCCTTTAAATTTTTGTTGACCTATTTAGCATATTATCAGTTGCCCACGAGCAAAACATTCGCGAACAAGTCATTCAAATTTTAACAGAAGGTGATTTCAATAGTTTTGATTTTTTTGGGACACCCTGTATTTTTCAATTCGGGAATTTAGAGAGCGACACGTCTTTGTCAATCTATTTAAGAATAGTTGCATATATAATTTTTATAAGAAGTGCGTAACTGACAATCGAGTACATATCAACTGCCTCGTTTTAAGACAATATGTGTGTACTCGGGAAAATTCGGGAGTATTTTGCTGGCTGATTGTCTTTAAATATGGCAAAAATATAACATTAAATTGTAAAATATATAGCTCAGTTGCAATAACTCGTATTCCGGAATGGATAAATATACCTAAATTACATTATTTACTTTGAAGACTTGGTGGTAGCAAAGGAACAAACCATCTCCTATAAACCTGGGTTGGTGACGTCGTAGTAGCCGGTTTTCTCAACATCCTGCAGTATCGTTACATAGCCATAAATTTGTTTACATAGGTGCTTCGTCATTTCATTCAGTTCAAGGTTTCTCTTCTTTAATGACTTGTTTTCTTTTTCCAGTCTAAAGAATTTCTTCCTGATTTTGATGCTTTTCTGCACGTGCCTTTTCCTTGTTTTGTATAATTGAGCCTGTATAATAATTGAAACATTAATGGTATGAAAAAAGTTAAGATATACGGAGTGTACATCTTAACTTTTCTGAGTTTAGACAGAGGCCTTTACTGTTGAATTTTACTAAATGAACTGATTGAGTATAGGCTTATTTTGAGAAACTCTTTTCCCCCACGCGACTGCCTAAGCTTTTCACATATTGGTTTTGCTTCGACATGTTATTTTATAAATCATAAAAATATTATAAATTATAAAAATAAAAAATTTAAAACAAATTTTCAGCTTGAAAGTTTTGATATCTCCACAATTAATACAATAAAATTGGAAGACATTTTTTTTTTCTAAGTTTAGATCCAGTGTGTTATTGTTACTAAAGTAGTCAGTTGGCTCACACTTAATAGAATATGCATGGTTTGGAGACCACATAAAACTACAATACAACTCATTAGCTATGTTGAGGTAGATTTATGCAAAAAATTGTTTCTTTCTCATCAAATGTCTATTGTATTTTGCACAGATAAACCAATAGCAATCTTATAATTAAAATATTTTTCAAGTCAATGTTAATGAGCTTAGCAAGACGAATGCCAATGGTAAATTTGGCTAAAATACAATAGACACGTGACGAGAAGGGAATCATTTTTTGCATAAAGTGGACAAAAACATATAGTTAAGTTGTATTGTACTTTTATTTAGTCTCCATGTTTATTCTATTAACTACGGTTCACTGCTATCACAGCTATTCAAAAACAATTTTTGGAAGCAATTTAAAGGTAAAGCTACCATTTAAAGACTCTCGGATGATCTTCTTCAAAATTCGCGGCCGTGTCAGTATGACACTATGCAAATTTTGGACTTGGACGATATCTGCTTACCTTAATACGAGAAATTGCGTTTTTGTGTTCTGTAAGCTCGCTTTCTACCAATGGCTTGCACAAAATGCATGGGTTTTGAGAACATTCCACTGTAGCTGGGAACTAGGTGATACAAAAATTCCACTTTTAGTTTCGAGTGCAATTAGTGATAACAGATCGAGACCTTGTGGATGAACGAGAACGAGGATCCTGGTTGTGGCCTCGTAGCCTCGTTTTAGTGTTCTTATTTTCACAGTTATTAGTCAAAATAAGTATTTTTCATGCATGTCTTGATGAAGAAGGATGTTTTACATCTTTGCATGTGGCTAGTGACAGTAGAAATTAAAATCCATCTCATTTATTTTAAGATGGTTCGAAAAGGTCTATTGGGGTGTGCCGAAGATGAATTCGAATTGGACGAGCTTTAAATTTATTCAATGGAGTTATTTCACTGTATTATATTGAAAGATTCATTTAATCCCCCTTTATCACAATTCTTTCTCATCACGTGTTCGTTTCTCTTTTTAAAAATGAATTCGATGTACACAAACTAAAACCAGGACTTTTCTCCGTAAATGATCTTCTTTAGTATAACATCCCTTAATATATTGCTCTTAATTTCTTTAAAAAAATTGGTTGAAAACACCAGTTTTTATGTCATGCAGTGCTGGTGTGAATCTTTCACAAACCGATTTAGTTTGAACGTAGCATTGAAATGATACATTGAAGAATGTTCAGTGGGTTTACCAAAAAATGGTTACCTGACTCCATGAATTGTTTTTGTCTTCTGGTGGTCTTATTCCTCTTTCAGTTGCATCGACGTGTGCTGCCCTCTTCCCTTTGAGCGTCAACTCCTCTTCTTTGGATAATAAAACCTAAAAAAGTACGATGTTTATTTTCCAACTTCCTCTACGTTCTCATCTAGAAGTCGAAGATACAGGAGGTTCCACTTTGAAATCTATTCGCAACATTACCGTGAAGTATCATTATACAAACAATAGGATTGGAACCAAGTGGGGGAGATGATTTAATTGCCTTTTCTAAAAATGTGTAATTAAATATCTGGGGTCAGCTGAAATCTCTGTGTGATGTTTGAGAATATTAATATAAGTTGTTGAGCTGGGTATCCAAACTGTAGAAAAATTGGTCAGTGCCAGTGGCGTCGCCAGCATCGATAAGTGGGGTGGACATATCGATATATTCATGTTCACACACCGTTAAAACAATCAATTTGAAAAGAAATAAATAATGTAAAACACGAGGTCCCCCCCACCTATGAAGCTGGCGACGCCACTGGGCAGTGCACAGCCTGTTACCCCGCCAAAAAGAAAATTTATGAGTGTAACATCAAAGTTCTTGTGATTCTCATTTTACCTTATTAGACTCCTTGCATTGACGTTCTTGCGGTATTTTTCTTGTTTCACTGAACATGTCTGTATTTGACACTGGCTCGTTTGATACCAAAATTTCTTTCATTGAACTGTCTTTTTCTCCAGTGCTAACCTTAAACGAACAAATATTTGCTATTGCAAATATTGAATATTATTTACTAACATTAAGGATAGGAATATAGGTAAATAAAATCATATTATCTTCGTTGCAAAAGTATTCTCTTAGGGTTCTATGAGCCTATATATAATATCCAAAGAGAGAATGTTTTAAAGCATTAAGTCTTTTGACTGCCTTTCTGAATTACCTTACTCACTGTAGCTTTTTTTGAGACACAAAACACTCCGTTGCTTGCAGATCGTGTATTTGCCTTGCCTGTGGAAGATGGTTCTTTCTCTGTAAACTTTAAAGACTATAAAATTGAGAGTTGGATTGTTTTAAAAGAATTGTATGAGTACAATGCATTCGCGGGAATACAAGAAGCTGTATCCCCCCTTCCAGTAGCTGTGCGTCGTTGAATAGCACTATGAATTCTAGTACTTGCTTATACAGTGTAAGTATATCTCATATTATGGATACAAATTTTGAACTCTTGCATTCCCAGCTATCTTTGCGGCAAACATTAAAGTAGTTCAAAATATGTTTAGTACCTGTGCAGTCGCATTTTGATTCCGAGGCTCCTTGACGTCTTTCCTAGGAAAATCTTCTTTTTCCTCTGAATTTGGACGGGAAAAGATTTCTTTGCCAATAGAGCCCAGAACCTAATTAAAATAATTATAGCTCATACTTTTTATGCATTGTCAATTATTTTTCCTCACTTTGAATTCCGCAAGTGGGCTGTCACTTTACACGGTGAAACTGGATTCTTAACGATAAAGCTATAGCATCGATTTACAGTAAAATAGCTGAATTGTGAGTAAATAAATTTTCCTGTGGATTTTGTATTTTCTCTGCTTGCAAAAGGCAGAAAGAGAGCTACAATTCGTACCGTACAGCTTCGATAATTCTACACTGCTAGTCTACACTTCTGCCATTGTTTAATATAATAATACATATAATCAAATCACGCACGTTAGCGTGGAAGAATTCACATGCATGGATAACATCCACCACTATTTCACCTACCATGTTTCGTAGCATATTCAGGCAGTACGTATACCCGCGCAATTCACATCACAGTATCACATAACAGCACAGCAACATGCATACCTCCTTTGACGAGTCGTCATTTCCTGATGTCCCACGAGGTTCTATTTCATTTCCAGAATCATCCGATTTCGTTTCCATAATCGGAGCGGACTTCAAAGATGCCTTTGAAACAATAAAAAATCCTTTGTGGAAATTTTAGGGATGTGTTTTTATGTTTCGAGGCTGTATGTACAATGTGTTTGAGTTTATTGCTTCATTTCATAGCATGCACATAGACCATTTATCTTATATTTACGATACTGAAACATGTGAGAATTGAATTCACCATGTTTTGAAATGGGAAGATCTAGATTATGTTATAGTGGATTAAGATCGCCCACTCAATGAGTTTTAATGCGAGTGAACTTTTAGAATACAGACGTAAATCTCTTATATGCGCTATTCAAAGGTAACAAATATGTGAAGAAGAATGGGTAAAGAAAAAGAGATGGAAGTTAAGTGAGTTGATACGTCTTAACCGAGACTCAACCTAGCTGTCACACTCCGATATATCTTTTTACATGCTTTGCTTTCATGAATGATATAATTGTATTTATGAATTGCTCATGGTGTAAACTAGCTTCACTTCATAGAATGACTTGGCACGAAGGCTCAGTTCGTTCCTAAATCTCTATCAGTTTTTGATGATGAGCAGAAATTACTCATTATAATGATTAGTTATACATTACCTCGCTCTCTGGTTGAGGGCTTTTGGCCCTCCTTCTGTCCCTAAGTTCACGATTCTTCATATTTCCAATGAGAGATAGCTCGTTCTCAGCCTGGGTCGATACCTTCAAGAGAGTTAAGTGATTTGAAGTTAATAGATACAACCAGAAGATAAGTCTTGGTTCGAATGAAAAACACGATTCAATTGCAATAAAACAGAACGCGTAATGTTTTTGGTCCAATAACGAAATCAGTCGAAGCTGTAAGGTCGGTGCACAAATAATTTGGCTTTAAATAAATCAGCACCTTTCGCTATTTTTAAGAAATGTTGCTTTCTATAATCCGTTGTGTCAAACTCATTTTAAAGCTTGAAAAACAATTAAAGACCTACTCTCTTTCACCAGAGTACAGTACAAGTCTCTTCTGGTCAGTAAAACAGTCAATGTAACACGCACAAAATAACTGTGATTGTTATTGATTGCTTCTTTCAAACGTAACACTTCCTGATAACTGCAATGCATGAATTGCATGAACATTCAGGAAATTATAAGAGCAAAGGGCACTCATTGACGTCGTCATTTGTTTTGTATTTAGTGCCATGCAATATCTCTTTAAATGACTGGATTATCACTGCAAATTTCAAGGATATAGTTATTCTTTCCCTCTACAATCACTATATAGTCTTGCAAAATATACTTAAAACATAACACTGTCGTTTTACATTGTAAGTAGCGAGATATAGTTAGCTGCATGGCGGCGGCGTCGAAATGACGTCGTATATATCTTATAAAAAGGTCTCTTTGACCAAATTTAGTAGTAGAAAAAAGAAATTGAATAAAAATAAAAAAAAATTTTAAAAAAACTACATACCTTGCTCTCTTTTACCGCTTTCGTCGCTTTTCGCGAACCTCTTGCCCCGTTCACACGTGCGTCGTTTTCAAAAGACATCGAGTCCTGGATGATAAAGAGAAAACAATGGAAATTTACTACAAAATGTCGACTCTGTTCCTATTGATAATTTTAAAGAACATGATAAAGGACTTTCTGCTATAAAAAGACCTTGAATGGCCGGACAGATTTAAGTCATTAATTAACATTCTATACCGCTTAATTTTTGAATGGGAAATACAAAAGACATAAACTCAAATTTTCGTCGTCTCAGACGATCTATTAGTGACTTTAGAGAAAGTACAGTGCAAACCTTGATGACCAACATACGGTCATGATTCATTCTTCTGTAGCAAAGCTTACTTTCGTAATTTTTTTCGAATTCATGCAAACATTTAAGAAGGATATCCAGCTTTCCTTTCATAACCCGCAAGAAACAACGCTGCTTATGAACTGATTAAGGGAGACATTTTTCTTGTGGCTTTATGAAAAACATCTACACAGTTCTTTCAAAACATTACTGATGTACAGTACTTATTAAATTGAGAAGTTTCCTAGGATAATTTTCATCACCTTCACAATGCCACATTCTTGCTGATTCAAACTCTTGTTTTCTTCACATCCGCCATCATTCAACTCTTCGAGGAACTGATTTTTTTCCATTTCCATCTTCTTCGTAGGCTGAAAATAAAACGAACATAGGACTATATTTTTCTGCATGGAACAGCCTTTCAGATATAGAATCCACGATGCTTGCAGGATAGCCCATTGTCTATGAAATAATACTGCTAAGAGCTAAAGGACGGGAAATCAGAACAATAAGCAGAACTGCATACGGGCCTATGTTTCCTTGACTATTCAGAGTTTTGTACGCTTTTACATATCAGTGGTTTAGGCAATCTCGTTTCCCGAGCCCACGATTCCTCTGGCGAGAGAGTAACGGTATTTTGTATTTCAAAATTGAAACGAGCGAACGACCGATCAGAATCACTTTTGATTTCGATTATCTTAGAACCTTTGTTTTCTCGCCAGAGGAAGCGCGGGCTCGGGGAACAAGATTGTGGTTTAGGTCAGTGAACTCTATAGATACTGTAACGATAACTGACGGTCATCTTACGGGACAAGGTAGCCGCCATCATTGAAGCTAATTTGGACACCAGCTGAGTTTGATACTAAAACTGGTGTCAAAGCAGGGTTTCAATTAGCTTCACCGAGTATCGTTCCAGTTCACATAAATTTCACTTCCGAACCCACAGGGCTCGAAATTTTTATATTATGTTCATAAAAATTAATGACAATAAAAAATAGGCAATGGTTGTTATTGATTTAATAGAAAATGTCTTTGCTAGGAAGCAAGCTAGCTATATTATCAACTTAGTTGGCATTACAGTAGAAAAAAAGGTTAAAAGTATTAATTTTCTCCGTTATTCCAATAAAAATGACCCTATTTCCACCTTTCGGATGAATTAGCCATAGCTGCATGGTATGAACATAATATTCACTACGTTGGCAACTATTCAATATGCATGAATGTATATAGCTATGCACATCTGACGATTCCCGTTTGGAAACGAGCCGAAATTGAACTGAAACTGAACACAGCTTGCGTATAATGTCAAAATGACATACTTTCCTTGAATAGAATAAGACAAATTCGGTGATTGCTAGAGACCATAGTTTGCTAGCCAACCCGATCGAGTTTGATCTCCGAAGTTGTATGCAGACTTTTTAGGATTATATTTTCGAATTTGTACAATCCATTTGCACATGCATCTTGCATCTACGTAGGTTAACTGTAACATTCATTGTCCGATATAAAAATTTAAAGAAGCGTGATGTCTTTTTGCTTTTTTATGGAAAAGAGATCATTTTAACATGCCTTTTTATTCAATGATCAGTTTTATTCAATGAGCTAACAGGATTTAACAACAGTTGCATGTCATATGAAACATTAGAATTCACGCTAGAAATTTTAGTTTCACGTGGCCACGCGTACTGAGACAAGTTTTGAATCAGCGCTAGCGTTGCTCGTTCACTCAACTGTGACATTTTTTCTAAAAAGTCTACGCTGTGATGTAGTTTGCAAGACAAAGCCTTGCCCAGATTGGCCAATGAGGAACATGTTCTGTCTACAAACTTCGTCAAACGAAGACAACTTCAGTCATTACCAGAAATTGGCGGCAAAATGGCTGTCGCTTGGATTCTAATTTTCATTTATCCATGCATAATGGCCTTCGATTTCTACTATTAAATATAGTTAAATTGAGTGAAAATATAGAACGTAAAATCGTCAACCACAGATTTCGTTCGCGGTGTTCGCTGACGTCTAGAACAATAAAGCAACCGTATTGAAACGCTTTGCTAACTGAGTCTTTTACCTTGGGCATTAGGGCATTGCACCAAGTTTAAGAATGTGTTGTTCGAAGTATTGCTGTGATTTCTCAACGAACTTATAAAATCGCTCACATTTGTACGAATATTTTGTTTCGGATTGTTAATGAATTGACGTGTCCGTTTCTGATTGTTCGTGCAATCATTTTGAAAAAATATCAGGTAGTTCAGCTGTGTGTAATTTAAAATATTACGAAAGTAAGTATAATTCGATGTCCAAAGCGTTGCGAAGGCTTTTCTCTTGAAGTAGAGGTCGTGCAACGACGATTTTATGTTTTTTAGTTTTACACTGTATATATTATTAATTTCAAAGGCGAGAGCCATTATGCATGGGTAGAATTCCAATTAATAGTATTCATATGACGCTCATCTTGTCGCAAATATCTGGTAACGAATCACAGGAGATTTCCTAAATGTCTCGTCATCTCCTCTGTGCTTACAGCGGAGCGAACACTGGAGTTTTCTTAGCAAATGTCATTCGTAGAATCGTGCTTGGGGCCAGAAAGCTAGCTTCACACTTGAGCTTGTCGCATATTTTTGCCATGTTTGACGATCTTCTGTGCGTACGCGCTAAAGCAAAGGAGCAGCCTTGCAATAATTCGGCAAAGCGACGACAGGTGTGATTACCCTTCACTTGTGTTTCTTTCCGCATTATCTAACGCCTTGACCTTAGCTTTTGTTCGCCGTACGCAAAAAATTAAAAAATCGTATTGGGCCAATTAAAAACATGCTGAGCAGTTTTTTTGCGCTACGAGTCATATATGGTTGAAAAATTCTCAAGGAACGACATTTGTTGAGCAGAAAGCTCTAGTGTACGCGGGATTTATGAGTTTCTCTAATTTCACTACAGTCTTTACCTTCGATCGATCCGTTTAGAGTGTCTTTATAGCTAAAATTTTCTCACTCTTCGCGCATAAACAAACACGCGATTTGTTCATACGCGAAATATCTATTCAATAAAAATACGTTGCTGAAGAACAAACAAACAAAAATAAACATTTAGACACAACACACACAATATTTTACGATTTTCATAATCTATAAAATTGTAGGTAAAAATATATCCGATAAATAATTTATGACACTAACCTTTGCATTTATCTAGCTACATTCTACTGTAAAAATTTATAAAAAATTATTTGGTTTGGTTACCTGACAGACACCTTCTGTGTCATTTGTCATTGTTTTGCAGCATTTGCCACCAAACTCATCTGTACTTTGGGTTTCTGCACATATTTTTTGTCGTGATGTGGACGCCTAAAATTACATCATTGCGAAGATTGAATTGCTTAATGAATTGCTCTTTGTTTGAGGTCACAGGTGCGCAATATACTGTGTCTATCGGAAAGAATACAATAGATCCCCGATTGCTAGGACTTAGTATGAACAAGGCCCAAATTATTCGACTCAAGCAATGTTAGCTCACAACTAAGCTGTTTTAATTTCTCAAAACCAGTACTTCATCCACTTTTCCAGATCCATGTTCTGATTTCTTCAATATTAATTTCTTGGAGGGATTTTCTGGTTCCACTCTTGGATTCGACGAGCAGGAAAAGTTCTGTAAACAACAACTTAAAACTCAACATCCTTATACAAAATGATTATTTCAGAACTGCATGTTCTCACTTACCGTGTCTCCTTCATCCACGTGTCGCTTACTTTTTGATGGAACAGCCCCTTCTCCCGGCGCGGAGAAATTTTCCTCGTCCACCTTAATTTAATTTAATGAATGCACCAATTGAGAACAAGTTGCAAACCCTTTCCATGCTTGGAAACCGAGCTTACAATAGAGGGAGAAGCGTGAAATAACGCAAGCGCACCTTCCATCTAAATGCCAATTCTTGCGTTCTAGTATGCAGAAGCACATTATCTAGGAGCGCGGACAGAAAACAAAAACTTAATCGTTTACAAACATATGCTCTACAATATTTTAAATCAGCATTTTAAACACACGTATAGATGCTTTAATTGCAGCTTACTTTATCCCACAAAATTTAAATCCCTCTCTACAAATCCTCTTATATATACTTCAGACACCTTAAATCTCTCCCGGGGCTATCCGCGTTATACTAAAAACCTTAACTGAATAGCTTTTAACGATTTCTTAGAAAATAAACTTAACTGAATAATTTTATGTTCAGTGTTAAGAAGTAGATTGGCTTTCAACAACAACGCGCATGCATTTCCATTTTAATTGACCAGCATTTTAAACCATTCATGTGCACCTCATAATTTAGTTATCAACCTAATCTTTATTCACAGTCAACTTACCACTGGCATTTTTGAAGTTGCACATTCTTTGTCGTAGCCATCATTGTTCTCTGCGATGTCAGGGCAAACCTCGACAAATATTTGTATGATCTTTATTTTAGTCGCGACATCCTCAAATGCCTCCATGAGTTTAAGGAAAAACTTCAACGGGATCTTTTCCAGCACCGATTTCTAATTGTTAAAAATATTTAGAAAATTAGGGAAGTTGACAACAAAGAACAACGAAGCGAACTTAAACTATTTTTTATATTTGAATACGTTTATATGTGGTTATCATTCACCTTGCAATTAGCTATATAACGTGTAAATTATATAACTTCAAATTTTCCTCCAAACGTGAAAAACCTGTCGGGCAAGTGCAATCTTACTTTCCATGCATTTCTTTTCAGAACTTTTTTTCTGTATAAACTAAATAACTTAGCTTCCCTATAGACGTTCTGTAAAAATTAGTTTACAAAATCCCTGATCACAATTAACTCCTATATTTATTAAGGTTTTTTAAATGAAGTGATCATATATAATAAACTACCTCATAAATTCTTTGTTGGCTTCATTAATTTAACGAGCATGCCTGCATCAAATATTTTAACCAATTGCAGGAAAAAAATTTAATATATATGACTTCATTTAAGTTAATATAGTTACTCGCAAAGTCCAAGAGACAAATAAAAGCAAATACATCTACATATAATAGGTAAAGTTAACCAATTTTCACGATACCCATGCACGCGTGTACATCGGCACTCTTAGAATTAAACTTGTGGTGTATAATGCGGTCGTGATATCACATTCTTGTTATAGCCCATTTGGTTACATGAAAACTTATTTTGTTAATAAAGTCCATATTCTCTTAAAATGCAGAGTCATTTCCGATATGGAAATTTCAACAGTCGCGTGATTTCTTTAGATATGACATATAATTGAAGTATTCGCTTCCCTTCCTGGAAGTAATTTTCCTGAAGTCTCACTTCCCAGAAGGGCTTAGATTACTTCCTCGAAAAAATGTAAACTGTATAATTCGCTTCCCTTCCTGGAAGTAATTTTCCTGAAGTCTCACTTCCCAGAAGGTCTTAGATTACTTCCTCGAAAAAATGTAAACTGTATAATTATTATATGATAAATAGTTGGCACAATGGCCACGGATCACCGTTCTAATGTGAATCGCTTTGGGATTTTCACATATATAGGACTCCTTGCATGAATATACGTTGTGCATATATTATATACGGATGATGCAACTTTTTGAATATATATATATACGGTATGATGTGGCGCGGATCAAGTGGATGGACTCATTAATGCAATGTCAAAGTGGGTTGTATATAGCGATCTAGAGTACGTTTGTGTTGTATTTTTTTCGTTGTAGTGACACTTCTCGTTACAAACGTTATATATACATGCACTTAGGCCTATCGCACAGCGTATATCATTCAAGCGATCGCGTTAAAGCTAATTAAGATCATATACAGGTTTAATACTTTCGCTACTTAGTAAGTCTTAATATAATAACCTGATCTTAAATATGGCCGACAAAACTTCGTGCTTCAGTAAGTGTAGTCAATTAAAGAAACAGTGGGTCATAATAATTCATATGTATCATTACGATTATAGGGTATCATTGATACTATTAAAACATATATATAGAGTAGTATACCGGATTATTCCATTTAAGCGTTTAGTCGTATTTAAAAGAAGTCATACATGCAATTACGATGAAATGCGATGTTGAGTTGTCAAACAATTGTTGAGTCTGGCATGCAATTGTCAATAAATTATACAACCAGCCGTTTCTAGCTACATATACAAATATCTGTATATATATAAATTTGACATTATAATAGAATACAAGGCTTATATCAGTGTCATTCTCATTACAGTCCCAGGGATATAAATAAAAGTGTATAGGTACGCGTGTATTTGTTATGGCGAATGCAACGTAGAATATTTTATTTCATGCACTCACATGTACCGACGTCGACAAACATTGTTAGTTTAACAAACACTGTCAAGGAATGGAGCAATCAAAGTTGCAAGGCCAGCCTTACAATATAATGATAACTTAGTATTACGTTAAGCGAACTTTCAGTCTAATATTGATGTATTCAGCTAAATATGACTTGAATTAAGGACAATATAAGCGGTTCGTTATAGCTAGATGTATACTCACCGAAGAGTTCTTCACTGATTTCTTTAGGGAATTCCAATGTCCTATCATTTCTTGAGATTGTTGCCTTTGACACTTTCCCTTAATATTTTCTTCGTAATAGCGAAGCATTTCGTCGGCAATCATTCCTTTGGTTAACGACAAAGCGTTAGTCGTGTACAACAAGGACAAACTGCATACATTTATGCCTTCGCTTTGTAGAATGCTATTATGGCCAACAATCGTAGATAAATCGCACGTATTTTCAAAGGCAATACCCTCGCATTTTTTAACTTTTTGCCTCGACATAACGACGTACAACTTTGTTGTAAAACCTTTGGTTCATTCAGATAAATACAACATGTTCAGGGAGTTACATCAACTTTCTAAAAATAAATTAGGCTATATAGCTAGGCAGCTGTTGACGTCGAAAACCCGGTTTTCATGGTTACGTAGTAAATATTTTGATCTGCACCAAAAGCATGTGATATTTTGTGATATTTCTACGTTTAGGAACGAGACATTTCGCATTAAATTTCACAGTGCATTATATACGCGATGGAAAATAAATCGATAATTCTTTATCATGACATGCAGACTATAGACTGACGCCTGTATTCAAAAAGCTCATTCACACTCATACTCATTGAGTGTGACATTTAGATTTTGTTAATTCTGATAAATGAGAAAGTTTTTTCTGAATGAATGGAAAGATATAAGGTAAATTACTGAAAATCAAGCCCCTATTCGACTAGAAATACCGCCATGGAAACGCAATGAGAAGATTAAGATCGCCCACTCAATGAGTTGAGGGTGAGTGAGCTTTTAGAATACAGGCGTGAGTCCCAAAATATCATCTTTTCATAAAAAAGGGGCAGCATGCATGGCAGCGTCTCCAAACAAACAACTTCGCTTGGGTAAGGCTGAGCTCTAAAAATTGACATCACAATTACAGAAAACCATGCTGGAATTGTTTGTAAATTTGACTCATAGTAATCACCGAGATTGTATATATGCATGGTTACTAATAACTGCACGTGGCAATCGATAGGAATGATTGCCACGAAACCAATGTTGTTTCGGCGAGGCTTTGAAAAACAACCATGTCTTAGTAAAATCACAATAAGAATGACATTCTTCTTCCTATCTTGCATATACATTTGGAAAAATAACAAAGTATTTTGGTTTCATTGGTGCAAATACTGTCGCATGATTTATTTAAATAGATTCCCATACAAATTCCAAACTCTTTCATAGAATACAAGTTTTAAACAAGGAAGAAAACTAAATGGTTACTGACTTAATTAACTGAAAACGAAGTTAGAAGAACGCCCATATAAATTGAGGCTATATATTGACGTACGTTTAATCTTCACTGTGAGTTTCCGGAAAACAATGTATATAATTTCGGAATGTAATAATTTTGGTAAATACCTGAAACCTAATTATGTGTGCATAGGATATATAGCAAAGTGATGATTATACGTCTATTTTAATGCAATCGTACATATAGTTAATGGTAATTATCGTAGCTATATATTTATTTAAGGTAATATCCGCAAAGTTTCTGCATGCATGAGTATTGAAATATTACAATAATTAAATAGTATATATATATTTGCATCACAGTTCTCGAGCATCAGCCAGTCCTTGACGACGCCTTGTCAAATGATCAATATTCTCACTAAGACGAGCAAGCAGATTCTGAACATTACCGAGGCGCTGTCCCATTTGGTCTGGTGAGTTGCTCGACATTTCAATGAATTCCTGTTAAATTTAAAAAGCTTAGGCATTATGTTCGCATTGCATGCTACCGTAAGTGTATAATTATTGTGCATACCTGCATAATCTTATAAGCTGTTTCCTCCACTTCTTCTGATGTTTCCTCTATATCAATCGACACTTCCTCCCACTCATGCAACTTTTCTACTTGCATTTGAGTTTGGGTAAATAGGTTGTACTTATCAGTCTCCAATTTTTCTTTTTTGGTTTTCACTTCACTTAATTCAGCCTGTAATTTCAATTTTTCTTCCTAAAGTTGATTAACACCTCATGTTCAAAATCCTTGTAATGCATTTGCAGAGTTTCATTCCTTCATTAAATTAACTTTGAACTTTGTATACGTGCTGGGGCTAGCGACTTTTTTTTCACATCATACAAATTGGACATGGACAGGTGATTATTCGGAGGAAACAGAGGAGTTTTAACTATTATTCACATCGGAATCGGTCGGAAGTGATACCTAAAATTTGCTAAATTTTTCATTGTACGAGATTATAAATGGTCCTTACGAAATAGAGCAAAATGCTTTTATTAACCTGATATTGCCGGATCTTGTTCCTGAGTTTTCTTTTCTGAAGTTCTTGTGTGACCGCGGAATTTAAACGTTTACGTTTTTCTTTGGAATCGGTACTTTCCCGCGCTTTCTTTGGAGGCTATAAATGAATGTGAAATACAACTTAATTAGTTAGCAAAACAACGCGCTTCTTGCATTCGAGAAAATGGAAGTTCTCTGCAAATAACGAGCATATTATGCATGTATTTCGTTGCTAAATTCGTAATCTTCAACATGCTAGGATTTAACAGGCTTTGAAAGCGTGTTTTGTTTAGCCCTCAGTCCTCAGTATAAAATTCATACCATGCCAGTAATACGCTACTATGTATAGAAATACTAAAAGTATAGGACATATCCCATTTTACTGTGACATACAATTGTCTTTTTTACCGCGATCGGGCCAAACTCTTTCGATGGTTTCTTGATCTGGAATATTAGTATAATAATAATTTATAATGGTTTATCATTTCTTACTTTGTATACTTTTTACCATAACAATCTAATATGCACATTTCCTGTTGTACAACGTAAATTTATAAAATAATATCATACCTTTTGACTTATAGCCTTGACGGATTTATTACGAGACCGAATTCTTTCATTAGATTCACCCGTTGCTGTTACGTTCATCACGTCTGATTTTTCCAACGGTTTTAAAACCTGGAATGTTTTTAAAATTTATCTTATCGCTTCAAATGAATGTCGTTTGTAAATATTACTGCTATTATTGTAAACCATATTTATGGTGCCAACCATAAAATACAAAACACATCCCATGCACTCGTTACTATAACAACTAATCTATTATCCGCTCTTCCATTTGTATGGTATTCCCGGGTATGCCAAGAAGCGGTGCTCGCCCGCTATTCTTAGGGGTGTGTAGCAAGTAAAATTTTATGTCGCCGTTATACGTATTTAATACCAAATGTACAAGATTTGATACAAGAAATAATTAAATAATATTATGCAGAGTTCGACTAACTTAATTCGAAGTTTTAAAATAAACACATGTAGCTATATCTATTAGAGAACGTCATGCCCAAGAAGTAAAATACCTCAGTTGGTTGAACATTCTTCCCGAATTCTTCGTGAGATCGGATGTTCCAGTTAGATCGAACTGTTCTTGCTACCATCATTGATCCGGACTTCTCTGCAGAGGGTTTTGGCAACTGAAGAATATAAGCATATCACTACTATATATTAGGTACCATTCAGTACTATGCTGTTTATACCATGACTCAAAACGAGGATTACCTCAATTGGTTTAATATCATGATCATCACATTCATTTTCACTGCGAGACCAAATCCTTTCATTAGCTTCATCTGCTTGTGTTATCATGATCGAAGCGGGCTCCTCGAAAGGCTTAGAAACCTTTGAAATATGAACGGTCAACACAGTAGGTGATGTCATTTAACGTATATACCTAATAAATGATTACTGTGTAATTTCGCTTGCTTGGTCTTTACGGAGAAATATCATTAGTCGACTTTAGGTAAAAATCTTGCCCCACATGCATGCAGGTTCTGCTTGTACGAAATAACCTATATAAGTCTAATTTTTTTTTTGGCAAAGACCAAGCGATCAAGTTTGGTAATTATTTAAACCATCGGCATTATTTTTCATGCCGTACTTCATTTTCTTCCGCCCTTCCAAAATCGTTTGACAGTATACGGCCAATGAAACCATGTAGAAAAACACTAAGTGAAATAATCTCACTTAAACCTGGTTTTCACCACTCATAGATAGACGCCGATGCTTGGCGATGCTGACTTGGTAGCAGTCGGCGAGTATCGCAGAAAGGCGGTTCTCATCAACATAATCTGTCGGTTCTTCGTGTATTTTGGACAAGAAGGCAGGACAAATTAGAACACTGGGTTCGAAATTAGGATGATTAGCGTTTTACGATTGTCGGCGAAGTCCGTAAATGCGGTTTTCATAGTTTTAACAGTCGCAGCCTATCTGCGACAAACGCCGATCATCGTAACAAAACATTTTTTTTTGTTTTGCTACGATTGTCGGGGACAGCTGCAGATGCATTACGATGAGCGGTTTTCACCATTTACGATGCTCGGCATCTGTCGTAATTTTGATATCGGGAGTATCGCCGACTATCTGCTATTGATGAAAACCAGGCTTAAATATAGTTCTTACGTACGCCGTAAGCTCCCATTCTTTCATAGTATTCGTCCGATTCTTTCATCATCTTTGTGCCGAGCTCTTCGGAGGGTTTTGAAACCTTGTACGAAAAATAATCTAGCCGTTATTATCACTTACTTTTATATCTGCTTATATAACATTACAAATCTCAACGGGACTTTTCGCAGGGTTGTGAAACCCAGATTTTGTCTTAACATTTGACACCTATTATTTTGCTTGTCTACCAATTAAGGGCTAATTGGCCTTGTTAATTCAGTCTGTAAAATGTCAGCTAGACTATAAGGTTTCTTGCTATAAAACAGTCATAGCTTATACATCACATTTTGGTCGCGTCGAATTAGATAAGCAGACTTCGGCTAACTCAATTTGAAGTTTTGAAATAAACACATCTATTTACAGTACACCATGCCCAAAATAGTCATTGATTGAAAATAGGTAAAAAGTAAAAGAAAATGCTTAGTCTTTTTTTTTAATTTTGCTTTTAAATAATATATATGCATAAGGAATAAATCATTTGTCCAAATTTTGGATTGTCAAAATTCAGGATGTTAATATAAATTTTGTGGATATTCTTATGTCACATCTATATGTTTCAAAACCTAGAAAATTATGTAGCTACAAAATTATGTACAAGTATTTATATTCGCTTCGACTTTTTTTGTCATCAATGCTGAGCTGGACTTTTCATGATGCAGATATCGAAACCTGAAATATTTTAAATTACCATAGTTTTCACGGTCTATGGTTATTCATCTATAAATGAAACTACCATGAATATCACACCTGAACGAAACTCTTTATTTATTGAAACAAAGCATGTCGTGCGATTTCTGAGCATGATTTTTCTTGAATTGTAAAGTAAAATACCTCAATTGGTTTAACATTCTTTCCGAATTCCTCGTGAGATCGGATCTTCTCATTAGATCGAACTGTTCTTGCTACCATCATTGATCCAGACTTTTCAGATGGTTTTGGCAACTGAAGAATATGTATCAATACAAAATTACTATTCAGTGTAGTATACTATTTATACGATAACTCAAAACGTAGATTACCTCAATTGGTTTAATATCATGATCATCATATTCATTTTCACTGCGAGACCAAGTTCTTTCATTAGCTTCATCTGCTTGTGTTATCATGTTCGATGCGGGCTCCTCGAATGGTTTAGAAACCTTTGGAATATGAACAGTTAATCTAGGTGATATTCATTTAACGTATATCTATATACATAATAAATTATTATATATACTGCATGTGTATTGAACTGTTATCAATTTCGCGTGCTTGGTCTTTATGGAGAAATGTTATTAGTCGAACTTCTGATAAAAAGCTTGCCCTACGGACTTAATTTGCTTGTACGAAATAACCTAGGCTGATATTTTTCAGCAAAAACAATTGGGCTTATTGAAAATCTGAATTAGTGTAATATCGTTTTCACGTACGCCGTAAGCTCCCATTCTTTCATAGATCTCGTCCGTTTCTTTCAACATGTTCGAGCCCAGCTCTTCGGAGGGTTTTGAAACCTTGTATGAAAAATAATTTAAGTACTAGTTATTATTATTTAAGAATATCTACTTAACTTCACAAATCTCAATGGACTCTTCGCAGAGTCTTGAAACTCGGATTTTATTTTTTAACATCCGATAACCATTAATTTGCTTGTCTATAAATAAACGGCTAGCGCTAATTGACCTTGTTAATTCGGTCTGTAAAATGTCAGCTAGAAGTCTTCTTGCTATCACACAGATGCCTTAGCTTATATAGCTACATCGCATTTTGGTCGCGTCGAATTAGATAAGAAGACTTCGAGTCACTGAATTTCAGTGAAGTTTTGAAATAAACACATTTATCTACAGTAAATCATCCCCAACACAGTCACTGATCGAAAATGGGTAAAAAGTAAAAGAAAATGCTTAGTTTTTAATTTTTTTTAAATTTTGTTTTTTAATTGTATGTATGAGGAATAAATCACTTGTCGAAATTTTGCGTTTACGGAATGTTGATATTTGTGGATATTCTTATTTCACATACGGCTATATGTTTGGCATGCAATTCATTCTGCATGCAATACCATGAAAGGAGAATTATTGTTAGATCCAGTTTTCCCGTCCGTGCCATTCATTCCTGACCGCATGATAGAGTTGGGCTCTTTGGATGGTTTCAAAACCTAGAAAATTATGTAAATAAATATCATTAAATATTCGCTTCAACGTTTTTTTCTCACCGATGCTAAGCTGGACTTTCACCATGCAGAAATCAAATTTGAAATGTTATAAATTACCATAGCTTTTCGCGGTTTATGGTATTACCTAATTGAAGCTACCATGCGTATCACAACTGATGTAAACTCTGTATTGAAACAAAGCATGTCGTGCCATTTCTTGAGCATGCTTTCTCTTGAAGTGAAAACTAAAATACCTCAATTGGTTTTACATTCTTTCCGAATTCTTCGTGAGATCGGAACTTCCTATTTGATCGAACTGTTCTTGCTACCATCATTGATCCGGACTTCTCTGCAGAGGGTTTTGGCAACTGAAGAATACAAATTACGTATTAATACAAAATTACTATCCTGTATCATAGTATGTTATTTATGCGATAACTCAAAACGTAGATTACCTCAATTGGTTTAATACCATGATCATCATATTCATTTTGACTGCGAGACCCAATCCTTTCATTACCTTCATCTGCTTGTGTTATGTTCGACGCGGGCTCCTCGAATGGCTTAGAAACCTTTGAAATATGAACGGTTAATCTAGGTATATATATAATATTCATTTAACGTATATCTATCTATATACATAATAAATTATTATACTGTGTATTGAACTGTTATTAATTTCACGTGCTTCTCTTTATGGAGAGATGTTATTAGTTGAACTTCCGATAAAAACCATGCCCTACGGACTCGGCTTGTACGAAATAACCTAGGTCTGATATTTTTGAGCAAAAACCAAGCGGGCTTGATAATTAATAAACCATCAGCATGAGTTTTCATATTCTACTTCATTTTTTTTCCTCCGCACTTCCGAAAGTTTTTTAATGTTATAGCATGAAGAAAAAATAAATAAGAAGAAAATAATCTGAATTAGTGTAATATATCGTTTTCACGTACGCCGTAAGCTCCCATTCTTTCATAGATTTCGTCCGTTTCTTTCAACATGTTCGAGCCGAGCTCTTCGGAGGGTTTTGAAACCTTATATAGAAAATAATTTAGGTCAATATTATTTACCTTTATATATATCTACTTAACTTCACAAATCTCAACGAGACTCCTCGCAGAGTCTTGAAACCTGGATTTTGTCTTAACATTCAACACCCATTATTTTTCTTGTCTATAAATCAACGGCTTATTGACCATGTTAATTCAGTCTGTAAAATGTCAGGTAGACTATAAGGTTTCTTGCTATAAAACAGATGCCTTAGTTCTATCTTATACTAATACATCGTATTTTGGTGGCTTCGAATTAGATGATGAGATGATAATATACACTTAATGTATAATCCGAGGGAAATATAGTGAATTTTGTTTTTCCAATTAGAGTCTGAATGTTTCCCGAGACGAAGCCGAGGTGTAGCGAACATTAAGTGTTTTGTTATATAGGAACAAAAACATACATGTTACACGACAATTTCATTTCAAAAAACTTTGCGGGCAACAATATTTCACTTGTTTGCCTGGCGGGAAACATTGCATTTATTTAAAGTCATGTGACTACGAATGAACCAATCACATTTAAAATACACAGAACCTATATAACAGTGAAGTTTATCATCTAATTATATCCATTGTTTGAAGTGCATTTGCGCGATCAAACAGCGGGACGTATAACCTAAGCCATATATATATTTTACAATACAGCCCCTTTGGAATATTTCAAAAGCTAGAACAACACTTTATCGTCGTTTATGGTTTAGGTATATTTTCTAATGTTTGCGATAATTATGAAAAAACACAACAATGTCATATTATCGCATAGCATATGCAGTAAAACAAAGTAAAAATCATGCCCTAACTCGAATCTTAACTAACATAACAAACCATGTCATAGTATCTCTATGTATATCATCATCTGATATTGCGCAATTTTCCCTACAACTATGGTATCTCATAATGAAGACGAATTGCATGACCTCATTTCGTTTTGTGTTAATTGCACGATTAGTTTCATGATTTTCATCTGCCTTTGTAACTAATACACTGGCAGACTGTTTGGTAGTCTTTAAAACCCTTAATGTTTTGCAAATTTTACATTATTTATAAACGCTTCTCATACATCACAATCATCACTACATCACTAACTAATACATCACAATTGCACTATCAATCTAACAACGTTAAAAAGTAATAAAAATCATGCATACCACTGCAGTTGTTCCATTGTCATTGCCTGGTTTTCCATCAGATTCCATTTTCTCTCCATTTTCCATCGCTTTTGTTGTCAATTTTGGAGCGAACTCTACGGAAGGGTCTGAAACCTGAAATAATTCGGTGTATCAGTTTTTATCCTGCTTGTGACCACCCAAAAAAGCCTGAATCAATGATAATCACATATGCTGCCGAGCTGAAGTATTTCATAGCTTATGCTATTTAAAGAGTAAAAGGGAAGTAAAAATGTAGATTACCTCAACTGGTCTAAAATCGCATTCTATAATATCGCATCACTAACGATACCTTATTGGTTGATGTAATATCATTTTCACGTCCGCTCGGAGGCCCAACCTTTTCACGAGTTCCCACGGTTGTCGTGGCGGACTCTTTGCGCAGTTTGGAAACCTGCAATTTTTATCCTGCATTAGACAATCATTATGCTTTGTATGTGTATGAATTAACCCTACCAAAATGCCTTCCTCAAAGAAGTTCACATACAATTAACATAAAAATGTACCACCGAAAAATATTTAAAAGTGATGTCACATATCTTTCAGGTAGCATATGTATAGCCAGGACGCAGAGCTTGTTACACTATTGAGAAATTTTGACACGGCAAATATTTGCCCTGTCAAATATTTTATCCCGTTTTCCCCTTCTCGTTATAATGGACTTATTTGAAATAAGGTAGTTAAAAAGTCACGCAAAACGATGCCAATGTCGACATTTTTGGAATAATCAATTCTAAAATAAATAATCAGTCAAAAAAAGTTTTAGCGATAATATATATAGTAAACGATATATAAATTGATGACCTCACATTATTGCAGGTTTTGCAATCTCCAAGAGAATCAAATCTGGTCATAGCAGCATTAACAGGTGATCATGATGGAAGACTGGGTTTTCATATGGATCGTGAAAACAATCATAGGGAAATACCACAATCACGCGGAAAATTAACCTGTTCATTAAGTAATCTGGCGAATAGGTTACAAATTTAAGGATAAAATTTAACGGCATGGTGATAGCCCCCCATGCAAGTAGCCTACCTTACATAGACGCTGAAAAAAACGATACACCGTCTCGTCTCGTCTCGTCTCGTCTCACAATTATTCGAATATTTGTAGCCCGAATGTTGGCGCCCGGAAGTAATTACTATATAGCGTCTGCGCGCAGGCTACCCACCAAGCTATCTTCCATTGAAAATCACATGTATCGTTGCATTATGTTTCTTACTTTCCTTATTTTAGGTCTGCTATTTTTATTCTTGCGCCCATTGCCTTCGCCACTTGGAATATAACAACCAAAATGATTTTTTTCACACAGTTCTTTGAACTCTCCTAACAGTTGTCCCAAAAGCGCGAACAGTTCCTTTTTTATCACAGGTTTGTAATTGATTAAAATATTTTTTCACGTCAGAGATATTGCACGAAATTGGATTAAATTGGCACCGTATATTCATTTGGCGCAATTACATTGGCACAGCTTCCTCGGGCGTAATCGATATTGTACCCGCGTTCGGCTTAGGGAAAATCATTGTTACTTTACTGCCTATACCTTTATAACTGTATTGGCTAGTTGATGCCCCTTGTTCAATGAATTCTTTCGTCTACTTTTTCTACGCTTCTTGGCTCTTTTGGTCGAAGTTGTTTCACAAACTTTGGATGGAATAATAAGCTGGAATAAATTGAAACAACTAATTCACTGAGATCTTGCTAATGTTTTTTTCTGACTCTACCCGGCTCTAAAAAACTACTGCATTCGTTACCTCATTAGATGTATTCCTATTTGCAGGTTTCTTTGCCTTAAAATAAGTAGCTTGATGGGCTTCAATCTGCCCCAAAAAAGGTTTCGGCTCTTCCAAAGGTGCAGCGATCTTAATTGGAGGGAGAAACAAAATTGAAGAATAGACAATACTTTTGTTTCCTGGATTTTTCGCGGCACGTTAAACTTTATATGTATTTTTATTGTCGCGTGTTTGTACATAACAAAATAACGATATGATCTAAAAAATATTCCTAACTCCTCAGGTTTCGTTTCAAAAAGTAAAATCATTCAAAAAAATGTAAAAAAATGTTTTCTCGAAATCAAGGTTGAAATAAAGGTTGGCAAAGATCTTCGGAGTTTCATTACGACTATAATAAAATTTCATTTACTTCTTTACTCGCTATCCGCAATTCAGTTATCCTGTTTACCGATTGCCTATTTACTCTTCCATATTTTGCGATATTGAGATCGTGGTTTTCCCCATAGTATGATTTAATTAAGTCATATCATCACACATATATATCAACTTCTCTAATTAACACTTATTATTGACCTGGCGTAAGGTCTGTACTTCTCTCTGACCAATTCCATGTGTGGTCTGACCCTTAAAGCAAAGATTTCGTATTTACTTTAGGCGACCAACATATTCATGCAAGAACATGCAATCTAATTAAAATAGGCTACCGTTTTCGTTCGCTTGGATTTTCGGCGTTTCGAAGTTTTCTTTTCCTTCATCGTTGAAGTCTGCAACGGCGTTTCATTTGGTCTCGTCTGTGTTCTGATTAACGATCTTTCATCTTTCGAAATCATTGTAGTTGCCTTATATATAAAAGTGTATTACAGAGGTAGATATAACTGTTATGGGCCGTCTAATCAGTATACAATGCTCTTTAAGAATTACAAATGTAACGAAGAGCAACGAAAAAACCAACACGTTGAATAATCAGTGGGCTTCGTTGCGTAACATGTTTAACAACGTGTTTATAAGCACTGCTTCGTATATTTAAGTAATGAAATTTGTGCGTGATAAATAAAGCTCTTAACTAATTCCAACTGCTTTTAATTCTTAGCAAATTAAATATAATTGAATTGAAAAAGATTGCGTTAAGCATTTCAGTGTTTCATTTGGGGAATGTACGTGCGAATCAGTTTCAATACGTGGAAATTTAGTTAAATTATACCTTTTTTGTTCGCTTCATTTTTTTGCGCCTTCTGGCTCTCTTTGCATTCTGTAATGTGTTTGGCAACATATCACCAGGTTCCGCTTGATTGCTCCATGACAAATCTTCTTTGAAAGGCGTTGAACACTGGGAACAAAATGAATAATTAACCTGTAACCACTTAGCTAAGATATACTTAGTGAAATTATTGCTAATTGCAACTAATATCGTATCGTCTTTAATATTTCTGATTTCAAAATGACGTGAAAGAGTGCAGTTTTGGTGCTGCTAGCTTGTTTTTATTTGTATAGGAAAAATCAAAGAGAAAAGAGAAAAAAAACTTTCGTTCCGCCAAAAGAAGGAAGGATTTTTTGCTGGGATATTCTTGGCGAAATAACTGCCTGAAGCGTTATATTTTTGTTCAGTGTTCCTTTAGCTTTTCCAATTTGCAATATATTGTGAGTATGGATATAAAAAAACTCACAAATGATATTATTTTAATATTAATATTAACTGGCTTAATATTATTTATACCTGATTCACACATTGGTGTTCCGCTTGTTGTACAATTATTCCCTCCTTATTGTCATTTTTTGGTTCCTGCTTTGTATTTGACGGTTGTTCATCTACCAAATTCTGAAACAATGAAATGTTATCAAGTTTGGGGTGATTTTATTTAAAGCAGGACCTGGATGAAACAATTCAACCTAAAACATGGTGATAGACACAATACAATGACCAAACTGATTGATCTTATGTTCACTTACCGATTTTTCTATACCAAGTGCCTCTTCAATCATTGCAACCATCTTGTCATTCATCAAGAAAGATACGTTTTTGTCCAAAGGATCCTAGACAGTATATATATGTTTATATGCTGTTATAATTCAGCAATACTTTAATAGTCACTGTTTTTATTTGCCATTACGAGAAATTTTGCCAGAAAATAAATGTCGCTTGGGTACTGATTTGCATTTTCATCACGCATATATTTATGACCTTTAAGTATAAAATACATTGAGTAGAAACAATTAAAATTAAAATTAGAAGAGCAATTGCAATTTTGAAACGATTCCGCAGTCAATTTATTCACATTGGATATTTACTTACAGCTAATTTAACCGTGTTTCGTTTCGGCCAACAAGCTTGTAAAATCAATAACTTTCTTACATATTTCAGATTCGAATTGTTAATAAAGGTACGTATTAAATGTCACAAAGTTTTGTTCACGATTTTGTCTTTCAAATTCTAATCCAAGTGGCCTATCAATCAACATCCCGTCCGAAATGAGTAGTAGGAATGCAGCGGCACCTTCCTTCCACCAAGACACTCAATATTTAGATAATTTGTTCCTGTCAGAAACGTGATGGGAAAGTTGGCTACCAGAAATGCATGCGCAGGAAATATATATTATTGTATTGCCTAGTCGTATAACCAATACGATATTGATATACTACTATAAAAATAAGTTTGGTTTTTTTCTCAGCATGTAATGGGAATAATTATTCCGACTTCCAATCTACGATTCGGAAACTTTTTTGGCACTCCGAGTAAGGGCCTATAGCCCCCCCCCCTGAATCTATGAACAATTATTCTTACCGTCGAAATGTCCTTGAATGCATCATCTTCGACAGTTTCATTTCGAATTACGTATGAATCGCAAGTATCAGCAAAGATCTCAACCATTCTCATGATGCTGACCACGCCCCCGAAATTCAATCCCTCCCACAAACACTTCTCTATAAACATTAGCGGCAAGTCCTTTAATTGGGCATTCTAAGGATTTAAAAAAACAATTTTTTAATAGTGTTGTATAACGGTGGTTGGTATAAAACACTGGTAAATTATTATGTACATACATAAAAAGAATGGTGGGGTTTGGGTGATGCATGTATATGAGTATAATGGCCATGACTGCTTTTAACTTATTTATATATTATTCTTTACTGTTATCTGCAATAAAGAACACACTACTCAATTAAGCTAGTTTGTGTTGTGTGTAGGTCTAGATCATGGGCGCAGATTAGGCGTATGTGACGTTATCTCCCATCTTTCTAGGAAATTGGTTGGTCCGGAATCCTGTATAGAACGAAATAATCATATCGCTCTGTGTCCAGCTTTGACTTCAAAAATACATTAATCGTTCATAAAACGTGTGCCTAACAGAGCTAAATTTCTAACGCGGTCTAGCTTTTTGAGGCACCCTGCACCTTTGCGGCCATGCAGGATATATAATGATATATTAAATATCGGTCGGAATATCGCTCGATCTTCCAAAAAATACAGTAAATTTTAAGAAAATGGTATATAGGTTGTAGCAACAAAGGTAATATCTCTGACCAAAATTTTTATTCGAATTTAAGAGGCTTTAAACTTTAAGAGAATCTGATTGTAATAGCCATTTTTGAAAATCTAGACTCTAATTCCAATTTTTTTAATTCTAAATTCAAAACTGTTCCTAGAAAACAACGTTCTGATTAACGTAATAACAAAAAAACGCGTAAAAAATACTATAATTCTCTTGCCTTCCTGGAATCAACAAGCTCAATTGTTGAGAAATGTAAACATATTTGACTAAGAACATGTCATTAGTCAGCAGTAAATGATTTTTGTATCCCTAGATAGAATGAAGAGGCAAAGACATGAACGCATGAGTTAGGGCAAGTATATGCATGCAATTGCTATTTCAGAAACTGAACTATAGAAATATATTTATATAAAATTGGCCCTAAAACAGTAGAACTTATACTCCTTTAGGAATATTTTCGACTCTTTAGAATTTATACCAAACATTGCCTATGTACGTTTACAGACATTTGATACGAAATAGCTATAACTATGTATACATATGTTAATTGCGCTTATATGAAGCTACTAGCTAGTTAGAAAATTACTTATTAATTATATTCCTCTTCCGGGAAAAAGTATTTGTGGAAAATATCTTCCAGGAATAAACAAAAAATATTCAAACATAACAAACGCTGTGTGCATAGTTGCAGTTTTGCCATACCGCAATATAAGCTAGCACATTTTCAGCTGACAAGTTCAGATATGGCATTGTCAGCTGTACCCCGGGTAAGTACAGATTTGCATTCGTCATTTTTTAAAGGTTTTATCCTCTGTCATCGTCTTATCACAGGTAAAATGAAAGACCACTTTGTCGCTGGAGGTTGTTGTTATGGCGTTAAAAGAAAAGCCTATTCAATCCATTATTGAGTGTGAAAATGCGATTATAGCGACCGGCGCTCTCACAGTAATGGTATATAGGTACGTTACTGATTTTTCGGTGTATATCATTTCAAAAAATATATTCGCTGTAAATGTAAGTCTCGAATCAGAAAATAACTAAAGCTTGATAAATAAATTTTGAAATGATTTATGTATGACTTGTGTGTGTTTGTATGTAATAAGGAAAGCGAAAGCTAAATACTTCTTGACTAAAGTTGCAGTTTGTATATGGTAGACCTAATTTCACTCGATTTTGAGAGCACGGTGGAGGAAGCCTACTAAGCAGTGCTTGTATATGTTTGTCTGAATTTGTATAGTATTTTGATTTCCGTTGAAATTTACAAACTTGCCAGTCTAAATTACTTTTTAATCGTATATATTTTATTATTGCCTAGAGAAGTCGACATATATACCGAATGGAACAACGAGATAGAATAAGGGAAAACATTTCCCCCCTACAGGCTACTGGTAAGAGACAGTTCACTAGAAACGTTGAAAAATACAGTATCAGTGACAAGTTAAAGTATTTATATATACAACATGAACAGTATTGCCTAAATAGCGCTTTGACGATATATATAGACAGGGTCCATTGGCATTGTAGCTTATTACCCAAAATGTCAGATATGGCATTGTCAGCTGTACCTTGGGTAAGTATAGATTCGCATTCGTCATTGTTTAATAGTTTTATCCTCTGTCTTCGTCAAATCACAGGAAAAATGACAGACCACTTTGTCGCTAGAGGGTATTGTTATGGCGTTAAAAGAAAAGCCTGTTCAATCGAATATTGAGTATGAAATTGCGATTACCTATAGCGACCGGTGCTCTCACAGTAATGGAAGGTACGTTTTTAGTTATTTATCGGTGTATATTGTTTGAAAAAAATACATTCCCTGTAAATATAAGTCTCAAATCGGGAAGTAAACTTGATAAACGAATTTTGGAATGATTTATATGTGTGTGTTTGTATGCATGTATGTATGAAATCGAAAGCTAAATACTTCTTGACTAATTCAGGAAAGGCTGCAGCTTGTATATGGTAGACCTAATTTCACTCGATTTTGATAGAACGATAGAGGGAACCTACTAAGCAGTGCTTATATGTTTCCCGGAATTTATATAGTATTTTGATTTCCGTTGAAATTTACAAACTTGTTTAAATTACTTTTCAATCGTACTATTTTATTATTGCCTAGAGAAGTCGACATACATATACCGAATGGAACAACAAAATACAATAAGGGGAAAACATTTTCCCCCTACAGGCTACTGGTAAGAGACAGTTCACTAAAAACGTTCAAATATACAGTATCAGTGACAAGTTAAAGTATTTATATGTACAACATGAACAGTATTGCCTAAATAGCGCTTTGACGAGATATAAAAGGGTCCATTGTAGCTTATTACCTGAAATGTGCATATTTTATTCACTGCGATTAATCATACTAACCGATAGCGTCTCTAACGAACTAGCTTTGGCAAGTGTTATCATCTTGGAGACGGCCTTCTTTCCCTGTTGATTTCGCATCAGAATTTTTTTGAGAATATTATAAATCTGTGCGCCTCTCGTCTCGTGTTTACTGAAGATATTTTCAGCTTCTGAATGCTGCATAATATTGACTTCGTGTCCTTCCAATTCATTCAAGTTGTGGCTGGAAATCATACTTAGGCCTGGATAGATACTTGCTAAGATTAAACTGCGATTAAATGAATTGATAAAATGAATTTATTTCTATCCAAGTCAGCAAAGCTGGTTTAAGTGAAATCAGATAAAATGTTCGTCCATTGAACTTAAAATTATGTAATACCTATACTGATAAAATACGTCATTTCATTCCCATGCACAATGCAATGTGGGCGCTTACTTTTAAACCAATAAGAAAGCCATCTAAACAGTCTATATGTTTCAAATCATTGATTCTCCAGCTAATATGTCGCAGTATAGGTATATACATGCATAAAGTGTCTCGGGAAAACTTCCATTGGAAAATATAGAAATGAAATGGCATATATGTATGAATAGGCTTTTATAATGAATAGGCTTCAGGCATAACTCTTGGGCCCCTCTTTAATAATCATTAGAAGGAGACTTTCATACTTGGCTTTTATTTTTCTACTACTCTTGACCATATGCCAATTCCCTTTACAGTATGACACCGTGTTTTACTATGGGGCGACAAATGTATATATAGTACATTGCACTGAAGGGAAATGACATATTTCTATGCACCATTCGGACAAATATATGATTTGTTCTGGCAATTCACGACTCACGAGATGTGGAATCGAGCCTTACTTTGATGTTAATATAAAAAATTACGCGTTTGCCGGTAGCAGAGCAATTTGCTGCATAAAAGCAAAGTCGCATTTGAGTACTTTGTTTCGTAATCTAATTTCAAAATTCTTCAAATGAGTACGCTGGGGTTATTTTGAACAACTTATCCATATCTCTATTTCAGGGTGCTGTATACTAGAAATTGCCCATTTTCACATAATTTTTTATTGTTTTTTATTCTTGCAGGAAAAAGTACGTGTTCTACGAGGTAACAAACAAGTAATACAGTAATATGCTCCATTATATTCATGGATATAGTCTTCATATATCCAGGTAAATCTTAACCTTTCCTCCAAAGCAGACTTGAGCAAGGTAGTGTTCACTGACGAATTGAAAGCAGAGTCACGTTTGATAGAACCGATGGATATGGTATGGATAAAAAGATTAGGAACTTAGGCATTAGATATAGAGTAGCGCCAATTCTTGGAGGTGGCATCAGATCAAACCTTTATCGAAACCTGGGCGCCAATAGATAGGGGAGGTATCATGTTGTGGATTGGCATTCATGGCGATAGGCTTATTGGGCCCTATAAAGTTGATGATGGGGTTTAGTTGACCATGCAGTCAAAAAAAACATGTAGTATGAGTCTCAAAATTGTTCTTCAAAGACCAATTGTATATTTATGCATCATAATGCCCCTCACATGCCGCTAATGCGACTCGCCAAAACGAATTTCTGGCAAAAAGTTGATGCCGTGGCGTCTAGCTGCGAGCCCTGATTTAATTCGCGATAGATAACCTCACGCCAATCGTGAATAAAAGACGATTTATGTTGGTGGTAGGCAGCCCGACAGTAAAGTAGATCTTTGGAATGCTATTCAAACAGCTTGTAAAGATGTAAAATCCAAAGAAATTGAAAGAATCAGAAGAGTGAGAAGAAAGGCGGATATATTGGAGTACATATAATTAGTACCTGTTATAATATTTAACATAATACTGTAAATGCATGCATTTGAATAATATACCAGTTGATGCAAATAATTATGAACTCTTGTAATTCATTGATTGTGAAAACAATGAATTTCTAAAGAATTTAACTTAATAATTCCAATGACTTGAAATTTTTATAGCATCATTAGCATGACCAAATTATCAGGCTGACTACGGCACTGCAAACCATAAACCGCAGCAAAGTTTTTTGTTGGTTGCAAAATGCCATCATTTCATCTGCGAAGAGGTTTTAAATGAAATAATTTTCAAAATAACTTCAAACACACTGTATGATATGTTGATAACAGCCATTTTAATATTCCTCTTAGGTGTCATACCTCTCCCACACATTAATCGATCCTGTTAAACAATCAATGGGCATTAGTTCAAAAATGCTTCCAATGCAACTCTTAGTAGCATTTTATACGTACTTAGAAGTGCCAAAGAATGCAATGGGTAATACCAATTAATGCTTCGCGGATGCACGTTTTTGGAGGTTCTGGTTGAAATACCTAGCGATACAGTATGCAATTTATTTACCTTATAATATGTGTAAATTTAAACCCCATTTGCACTACGCTCAAATTATTGTTGGCACGGCGCGGCTAAAATCAAGTCATGAAATAGACCTCCAGTAATTTACTCCAAAATAACGTTTAATTTTGTTGATGAGGTGTTTTCCTTCTCAGCAAACTTAATTATTTTGCATGGACGAATAATGTGCAGATGTTGTACGTGAACACTTCCTCTTTACTTATTTTAGTAAGCTCGTTCAGAAAATGTCTTTTTTATCGCCAAGGTAAGAAATTAGTCTAAAGCGCAAGTCGTCCATTTGCGTGGCTATATTTTTTGTACTACTTGACGTTTTGAAGCCAAACTGGTTAATTATACTAATTTCAGTATTCTCTTTTTAGCTGTAGTGATTTATATCCTTGTTACCTCGATCATAAGTTGCAAGTGGTCTATTATGCAAGTGATCCATTCATTTTGAATAACTCGAGTTTAACATTGGGACTTGCTCCAAAATACATGTATATATATATATATATATATCCCATATTTCACTTTTATAACCATATCCAAAATCCCACGGATGACGGAACAATAACTCTTCTTTCCTATGTACGGTGAACGTGTGCGTATTGAACATGTTTCTTCGCACTAAGACTTACCGTATAGCGAAGTATCAAGATATCACAATTCTACAAGTTGACGAAATCCTAATTGGCTGTGCATAATTCAAATGTTGCGGCGTTACCAATTCCCAGTGCATGTTGAAGCAAATGTAGAAATTTCTTTGGCTTCTTGTTTTTCAGAGCATTGATGAGTTTGTTCCCAGACCGAGGTAGTTGATAGCCGTCTGACTAGAATAATAAAATAATATGGCGACCAAGAAGAAGTAATGATCATGATCAGAGCTCTAACGATAACAGCTCTAGCAAATTCGGGAAAAATAGAATAACGAGTTATCGAAAATAAAAACAATGCCCTCACAATTTCTCTCCAAATTTATATTGTGATTTTTAGATATATATGGTATATATAAAACGCCAATGACACTGTAGGAATGGTTTGAAATTGCAAAAAGCTAAGCGGCAAAGCTAGCGGGACCTATGTTGCCATGAAATAGTGGAGATAGAGGGTTTCAAGCAATGTGACCGGGCACCTCTGCTAGCCCACCCACTTACGTATGTTACTTATGCAGCGTTCAGTATGATATAGAGAGATCAGTGGTAATGTTCGCTAATACAAAACTCTGGTTCATTAAACGTGTTTTTAACAATTACGTGCAATTCATTGTATTGTAGAGCAAATCCAGAGCAAATCTGTGTAAGCTATTATACAAAATAAGTGATAATGCAAAAAGGAATACAGTGCCAAGCAATTTAGATGTCAAAATCTGCCGATATTTAGGAGGAAGTTAAAATTGGATCTACAAGAGACCTGATGTGTCAAACTCTCATAGCGATATCGATTGCCCGGGTTTTAAAAGGATAACTTATCGAAATATTCGAGGGTGTGAATTTGTTAAATTTTTCGATTTATTAATCGTAAGTAATTAAAAATTTAAATGCTACTTTTTAAATTATAAGACGCCATTTTGAATTTTAAATTATATGGGGAGAATAAAATTACATGCTTGTAAGCTTGTTACTTCTCGGCGGCCATGTTAAACACATGAGGTTTAGATAGATAGATAGATATAACTTTATTTAGCCACAATAGTGTTTTAAGCTACAAGCTTGTGGGGTCGTGAATCTAGCTATAACTATGTAATATAAGAATATATCAATGCCATCCTATCTATATAACAATGATAAAATTTAAATCATAGTTTATGTATATAAATAATTGACAATCCTGGATCTATCGGTGGATGCAGAAGTAACGTTAAAGTCATATTCCTTAAATATAATCTTAGAACTTAGAATGTTATTAATTTTTTTGTGGTTTACTGTAGCTATGTCATTATTGTTGTATGTTACAGTGTTCCACAGAACAGCGCCTCTATAGTGTATTGAGTCTTTCATTACACGTGTACAAAATCGTGGAACCACTAACGAATGACCAGCTCTAAATGAATATTTTTGACTTCGTTTCTTAATGATGTTTTCTAGAATTAAGAATTCCAGGCAGTCGGCCATTGTAAGCTTTATGTATAATCTTAAAAATTCATTTAGCGTGTTCCAGTACCTTTGCAGATGGTAAATCTTTAGCTAGGTTAAAAATTATACGGTCTGCTATGCAGTGTGATTTTTCATCCATGTCATCAAATCCGCATTGCTACATGCTCCCCATAGAACAAGACAGAATTCTGCTGAGGGCAGTATTACTTTAAAATAAAACTTTTCCAGCTAGTACCTTCTTTGGTAGATACCCTGATAACTTTAACAGGTTCAATTTTTTTTCAAAGGTTTATATAAGTTCTGATGTATGCGGAACCCAGGTTATCTTATCATCAACTGTCAGCCCCAGAAGCTTTGTTTTTGTAACCCACTTAACAATATTTCCCCCAATGAAGACTGGTGCAATAGGACCCAGGTAAAGCGAAGTAATAGGAATAGCTTCTCTAAATTACTCTTAATTGTTAACAAAATATGTTAGTATCGAATAGGCGTTCTTATCAAAAGTATGCCTTAGGCTAATAGGCTCTATTTAAACACTATACTGGGTTGACATTGCAACGATAACAAAATTAGCGACGCGTCAAACCGAATTTGACCCCCAAGCGTATGACAACATTTTTTACTTACTCGTTGGTCTATTAAGCCCTTGGAGCACATCTCATTAGACCTGTCAACAGCGTTAATTAAGGCCAGGTTTTTCGTTTAAAAACGAGCACGCTTTATGTGAAAGATAAAACCTGTAGATAACTTTTTATTTCGATTTATATTAAATTCGATAAAATTGCTTTGAAAACCGAGTTTATTATTAGCAAGTAATACATATACAAGACTTATATACTTGCTGATATACATGCGATTTTCTGTAGAAACCATTGAATTATAAAAATTTTAGTACCCTGGTGCAAAGTGTGAAATTATCTAATCTATCCATTTTGCATTTACTATAATTTGATTGACCTTACCAAACGTGAATAGATTCTAAGAAGTCGACATCAAATGTTCAGTGCAATGCCAATGAGAAACTATTGACAATAATTGATAATTCAAAATTTCGAGACATTTCATATCAATTTGCAATCCTTGTGAGTATTTTTTGATAAATGGAAAATTTTCCTTTAGGGATGGAGAAATAACATGCAGAATAACTCTATGTTTCTAAACTGTAGTTTTTCAGATATAGTTACTCAAGTATCGTGGAAGATAGTATTAATATAAATGTGCGATTATGATTACGGTAAGTAATATTAATTTATGATTTATTCATCACAGTTCCTGCATATCAGCCAGTCCTTGGCGACGATTTGGCAATTCATCAAGCAAGTGACACAGAGTTTCAGACCTATCCCGAACATGTCTGATGATCCTTTCATTCGAATCCGGCACAAAGTTGCTCAACACCTCAGTAAGTCTCTGTAAATTGAAATTGAAAGGTTTTACATAATGAACGCTGCATATTTGAAAGTTAAGTCATGTACTGCTTAAGTACATACTTCCAAAATTATGTTAGCTTGTTCATCTATTTCGGGTAATTTTACATCCATATTCTCCTTGTACTTTTCAAAAAGCTTCAATTTTACATCCATATCCTTCTGTTCTTCTTCAAAAGACATCAAACGTGACACTTGATGTTGACTTTGTCTAAAAAACGCAGAGATTTTCTCCTCCATTTCACCCATCTTCCTTGTATTTTCTTTTTTTGTTTCCAATAATGCGTCCTGAAATTAAACGATATATATATATATATATATATATATATATATATATATATATATATATATATATATATACAGTCGTTATCAAAAAGGTTGTCATATTAAAATATATATAAATACGTAAATATCAATCACGTGATTTTACTGCATACGTTAATTTTATGGGAAATCCGTGAAAATATTTATTAAAAATTTCATAAATATAATAGTAAGGTTAACAATATTGATAATAATAAAGAAACAAGACAAAAATGAGCGAAATAAACAATGTTTAATGCTCACGTGATTGATATTTATATATTTGTATATATATTGATAGGGACAACCTTTTTGATAACGACTGTATATATATATATTATATATATATATATATATATATATATATTATATATATAATAATTATATATATTATATATATATATATAATATTATATATATATATATATATGTGACAAGGAGTTGCGGAGAACAACTTCCATTTGTGTTTATTTACTAGGTTATGCAACCGGATTTTTGATGTGTTTAACTTTTAACTCAACTCTAACGTCTTGAAGCATTTGTGAAGAAATTTCCTACGCTTACATACGCTGAGCCCTTACGCTGTGGTGTAACAGCCTTTTATATGTTGCATTTTCGGTATTTGTTGGTAATGCTCAATAAATCTTTACTTTACTAACCTTGAGTTTACTATTCTCGGCTCTAAGTTGGCTAATGTCGATATCTTGTGCCGCCACGAAATGTAAACGTTGCTGTTTGGGATGGGTGGTTTCTTGGCCTTTTTTCGAGAGCTATATAACGCGAAATACAACTGATAAGTACATAGTGATGCCAATTAACTTACGAAAAAACATGTTGCATTTACCACCAGATACCCGCGCTGATTATGTATTTAAGATTCCACGCTGCTGATATTTGATTCAAAAACAATTTCAAGGCATTTCATAATTCGATATCTCTCTCCCTTTACGCACTTTAACGCATTACGTACCCTTTCAATCCCCTCGGGACAGTTTTTCATACCCCGATCAATCGGCTGATAACACGGCATGTAAAGAAAGTTCTGAGGACGAATCAGCGAACAAGTGAGACGACTTGTCAAGTTATCGTAAACAGCTAAGCAAGTTTAGCAAAATTATACTTTTTACCGACCCTTGAATGTGTGCTATTACCGACCGACGTCGCGTTTAAACCGATGACCCTCTTGCCAAACCCCCCCCCCCATATCAACCCCTCCCCGCACTCCACGCCCCTGAGAGTTCCAACTTGGAAACGAGTGACAAATTATATGCTTTAGAACAAAATCTGCATAAATAATTCTTACATTAACTTTTCCTGCTTCGTATACAAAACCTTTGTCAAAGACTATAGTACCATACCTCAAATGACCCGGCATTAGATTCACCTTCATTGGCTCCATTAATTCCATCAGTGTTTTTTCCCATAATAGTGATTGAGACATCAGGAAGGTTCGAAACCTGAAATAAATGAATTCAGGTTATTCTTTTTCAGTTCAAATACAGTATGGTTATTGATTAAATTGTTCCCACTGATTGGTCAAATGACGTAAATTAATACGCGGAAATCGCTTAAAATTGTCATCTGGTAAAAACTCTTATTCTATTCTTTAAACTTATATTGTAATGAACAACTACATGACTCATTTGAATTGATATCGCGATGGTCTACTCCGACTAACCAGCCGGGAGGACTAAAAATTCCGGATTTCAGGTGCTTGATTAATTAATAACCACGTCTGTCACATCTTTTTTTCTGAAATCATGAAACCTACAAGGCTACAACGTAACTTATATGCGTATCAAACGAGAAATGATGTGCCTAATATAATAAGTACTGTGTATTATCAAAAAGATATATCGCACCTCGGTTGTTTCAATTTTCTCCTCAGCTTCCTCATTTGATTTTGTTTTCTCATTGTTTTGAATTGTTTGTATCATGATGGTTGAGGCAAATCCTTCATCATTTATGGGTTCACAGTTGGGTCCAATCTTTCCATAACTTTGGTCTCTCTTCATGTTTGATGTGGACTCCCCCGGGTCTTGGGAGGTCTGGAATATTGTTTAAAAAAATTATTGGTGTTTCTCGCATATTTATTATATTATTGGCTATGGCAAGCATCACTTCCGATCAAATAGAGCACGGTGATTGGCTGTGAAGAATTTTCAGCGCATTACGAAATGAAAAACAGACAAATACTGAATAAAAAATGCCAAATAAATGCTGAAAAGAAAACTTAATTGCTTTTAAAATTAATAAGACGTCTCCAGACATTAACGTTTATAGTCATCTAGTTTCTGCAGAACGGAGACAATTACATGGTATTAAAATTGCATTTGACAAAATAAATTATGCTTTCTCCCTTACGTAATGTCTTTTATGTTTCCAAGTAAATATAATTCCTATAATTCCTCTAATTCCAATAACTACCTCTAACTGAACACAGCTAAGCATATTGCGAGTTTATTTGATCGACATTCAAATTCACTTTATGAAATCAATTGTCATACATGAAAGAAATCCTGTTGAAATATTAAAGGAATACCAAATGATTTTCCGTGCAGGATTGCGTGATCCATGCACGCGGGATGTTGCTCGACTTTCGGAAAGCGTGAAAATACACGAGCCGTAGGTAATTGTTTTATAAAATAACTGTAGTGAAACAACGGTTAACTTTATTAAAATTAAATTTCGCGTGCAGGATTGTCTAAAACGCGTGCAGGATTGTCTGATCCTGCACGGCTATTGACCAATCACATTGCGTGTTTCACTATAGTTATTATATAAAACTGATTCCTATAGCGTTAACAGAACAGAAGAAAGTAACGTGACTCTTTTGATTTCTGTCTGTGCTTGTTCACACGGGGCACGTGCCCCGCCACAAATTTTTCAAGGGTCGAAAGGTGCCCTTTTTGTGATGAAAAATTTATTTTTTGGAGAAGCTAATGTGGCTGTGAATACTATTTAAAATCGACCTACACGTTCCCAAATCGTTTTGTAGGGCATCAATATAAACCACACTAGTGGTGTTCTTTCAGCTTTGGCAAGCAAACTGTCCCTGTACACAATTTCAGCTGCTCGTTTTATCAACCAAAAGTGCCTTTGAAAGCTGCCCCAAACTCTGGATGCTTCCTACGCTTCCGAAAAAGTAGCTTCTCTATAAGTTGACACATTGTTATTACGAATTTCAGTCTAAAATTAGTCGTTACAGTGTTAATGTACTAATGTACCATATAAATTATATAGTGACATTTCTGCTGAATATACACAGTATAAAATTGTATTTGAACTAAAATGTTATTTGTGAAACCATGCAGAGATATTGTGTACATGGGCATGCATTAATATGAGACGGGCTAGTACAGTTTAGCTATAGGCTAGCTCGTCAGTGCCGAGATCTCGCTTCACATATTATTTCACTATATGTGTAAAATTGCATTCATATGGAACCAGGCAAGCCTGGCTCTGGTGGGATCTCGCCTGAACGAAGCGAGATTCCGCCTTTAATTAACGGGCTTATAAAGCAGGCCAGCAAAAGCGAGCCAGCCCGGCTAAATTAACCGTCTCAAATGAACAGAGCCTAATACGTAACAGGTACTAATACAATACTGCACCTCAGTTGTTCTGATATCGTTCGTAGCTTCTTCTCCAAATCCCATCTCCTCATTGGTTTGAACCGTTTCTGCTGTTATGGGTGAGGCAAGCTCTTCCTCAGATTTTAAAACCTGAAATATTTTTAATACAGCAGTGTTATTGTTTAAGTCTAAAACGATTATCATTATTCAAATATAATATTCATACCTATGGCTACGATAATTATCCACACACATTTGATGTCCTACAACAACAAACCATGTTGCGCTACTGTATAACCTGAAATACCTCAATTGGTCCAAAAACGTTGTCAGGTCCACCATTGAATTTCTTTGTGATTGATGTGGACTCGGAGGGCTGTGAAGTCTGAAATTTTTTGTGAGACAAATAATTAATGCTTGACAACAAAATCACACTACGTTTTGTTGTCAAGCATTAATTATTTGTCTCAACAAAATCATACTACGTTTTATAGGAAACTATATGATGCAGTCTCATAAGTTCTCTACGAGATCAGAAATTTAAACACCTCAAGTGGTCTACAGTTGTTTTCAAGAACGCCACTAGGACCCGGTTCTTCATCATTCCCAAGTTCTGTTTCTGTTTCCAGCATCGAGTAATGTTCTTCAGACACTTGTGATACCTGAAGTTTTTCAAATAACTTTTGGTTATCTTTACCTATATCGTGTATAGCAATTAGCCATTTCCCTATCGAGCAGGGTATTGGGTCTAGTCACGAACCGCAAAGCATATATGGACTGTTTGAAGGGACAGGATATGTAAGTGTGAAATCATTTGTCCCTTTAAACAGTCCATATATGTTTTGCGGTTCGCAACTAGATCCAGTGCCCCGCTGGATTGGAAAATGGCTAATTTACTGTATCTTGATTATTATCACCTCAACTACCCAAAAGACTGCCTTCAATTCCATAATAATCCCTATTGCATGTAACATTCCACTTCGTTATCGAATAATAGAGTTTTCGGTAATTACGTCACAACATTATCGTTTTAAATTCAGAACCACCTTAAATGAGATGGATTTCAAGTTTTGCTCTTACAAGCTATGTGCGAATAAACAAAACATCCCTCGACAACTCGTGCATGAAAAAGATTTTTTATCCTGACTAATAAGTATGGAAATAAGCCAAAACGTGGGAATGAGGCTCGCGGTCTTGTTCCCTCTGCCTCGTTCCCGTCTTATGGCTTATTTCCACATTTATTGAATCAAAATACCTCAATTGTGCTCACATTGTTTGGTTCATTTTCTGTTGCTGTCATGTCTGAAGCCGCAGGCTCTCTTGAAATCTGGATTAATTTATTAATTTATATTATCATTTACTTTATCGTATTCTCAACTTTGATTGATTAATTTACCTGCAGGTAACTTTGTGCTATTAACGCTCTGACATGCGCATTTGTTAAAAACGTTGCTCAGCTGCAAATATTACTACGAGCATGCGCATTGATATCAAAATTGATAATAAAACAATTATTGAACTCAGTTCTCGCAAAATATCTCGCAGATCAATTATTTGCCTCTGCAGTCGGCATCGGCAAATAATTGGGTCTGCTCGCCACCGACAAATCACAATATTTTGCGCGATCTCGTCCAATAATTGATTAATATTAGCATATTTAACTATCATCATCGTTAATCAAGTGCCTCTGTTCAATCGTTTGTTTTATCTGTTCTCAAAAGCTTTTTATCTGTTTTGAAAACCTAGTGTATTTTGGTCCATCATTACATTATCTACTAATAGCTAAGTATTTATAACGACATTCCACACCATACAGAATACCATGAATAAACCATATAGAATGCTATATCATTCATAAAACGTATTGTAGTTTTAATACCTTGTTTTGTGCAGCATCATTTCCATGCTTGTTGTGCGATCCAAAATCCCCATTGGTTTTATCTGTTTCTTGCACTACTACGGTCGATTCTTCGGATGGTTTCGAAATCTAGAATGTTTTATAAAGCACTATTAGTTATAACTCTAGCTATGGCTTTCCTTGGCAGAATTTGCTGATTAGTCAGAAACGAAATTCCTCCTGCATGGTTGCTATGTCTTGTTTGTGGCATCTAAGCTGCGCTAGTTTCTTTTAAAGTTAATACCACACCAAACTTTTTATATGGATTTTCCTCTGATGTTTCTATACGTTTCTTGTTTGAAATTGTTGAATTTGCAATTGCATTTGATGAGCAGCAATAAGGAGACCTGAAATTGTATGTTTATGTACTTTATCAACAAAAATTTTGTTCAACTAAAGAGATTGCTAGAAAAATTGTATCAATTTCTAGCTTACCGTTCTACCTGCATCCACGTCGAGCTCATTTTTGGACGACACTTCTCTCTTAGTCAGCGCCGAAAAATCTTCCTCATCAACCTTAAATTAAATTAACATGGCCTTAATATAATTTCTATTGCGTTAACATGACGTTTTTTGATCAAAATCTACTGAAAATATACTAAAAACTTGTCAGAAGACTAAAGTTTGGTGCATGTACAACGGCATTTATGAAAATGCTCTATTTAGTAATCTTGGTGACATTTTTATAACACTTACTACTGGCATTTTTGAAACGACGCTCTCTTTTTCGAAGGTATTGTTGTTTGGGGGAATACAGGGGCAAATCTCCAGAAAAATTTGCAAGAATTTCAGTTTTGTTGTCTTATCTTCGAATGCCTCCATTATCTTTAGCAAAAACATGGATGGGATATTTTCCAACTCCGATTTCTATTTTGTTTAAGAAATTTAAATGTTAGTAAGATATTGGCATCACACTATTGACTACATAATAGCACAGAGATTTCGAGGTATTTTATTTAAGGGCGATTGAAAAATCGACATAATCCGGTGAATAGCGTTATTCAACTGCCAGCCGCCCCGTCTCGAATCTCCACTGCATGGTAATTTTGCTTTTATCCGCATATAACCTAGCAAGCTTTCGATTAAATGGGTTCTACATGGTTCTTCTATATCATCATCGCATGTAGTTTCCTCAGTTTCCGGAATTAATATTCCCAAAATTAAACTTCCCAGAAGATGTTATACTTGACTTGTATCAAATTACTTAACCCCCAAAATACAAACAGTTTGTTATTGTTTCACGCGGAATTACAGAAGTGAGGGTATTATGTAGGATAAAGATACTTTAATGAGCCGTCGTTGTTGGATGCGAAACCCGCGAGTAGATGTACATATCATGCAGGCTTCAACTAATGTGAATTTATCGGTGAATAGCTATACATACGACTTCAATGTAGGCTTCCGAACATATGCTTTCTCGAAGCAACGAATCGAGTAGGTTTATACCTATTTAATGCTGCGTCATTGTGAGTATATTAGAGATATTATTGAGATATTATTGTGAGTATTCATTATACCGTTTGACGGAACTCATCGGCGCATCTGATTCAAGCTATCATAAGCAAAAATTGCATGTGTAGGTTATTATTCCCGTAAAGTACGTGTCCAGCATTAGGTAAACGGAAACATGCAGCACTTATAATATTATTTATACAAAGAGTTACTCAACTATTTATTACCAAATATACCTCGTGCTTTGGTCATCGAAGTTAATTAAGTGAACAGTTTGTTATGTAGTAGTTGTCGCAATAGTAGTATTAGTAAAGATTATCGCGGAGTTGAGATAATCATACAATTGTTAATCCAGACAACTACATTTGTCAATCCAGACAATCGATTGTATCGAATCAAATATAGAATTAATAGCCAGATGGAGTCGATCTTTTCTATTTTTGACATTTAATTTGGCCATAGATACCACTCGACAATTTCGGCTAAGAATTTAGCTAATATAGGCTAAGAATTAATAGGCTTAGCAAAGCTATATCAGTTTTATTTACATCAGTCATTATAGTCATGCATTAGTATCAACAAAAGTGCATGAACGCGGAAGCATATAATCGTTATGGCCGATTCAAGAAAGAATATGTGAGTTCATAGCCAATATATTTACGATAAAAATTGTGGCTACGTTTAAACATTGAAGACAACGAAGGTAGAAGAATTAGATTTTCAAAATTACTATATTAACTATATTAAAGAAAGCTGAGAACTTGTATTATGTGATCAGACAACTGTAATATAATATGTACGTAATAACAGCTATCAAAATACTTATATGAGTTATATCAACAATTAAAGATGACGTAAAGTCCGTTCTGGGCATATATTCTGCGCATAACAATGTTTGTTTACGTTGGTTATATAATCTTTACATGACGTATGGGTCGTTATAATTTTCTTATTTTCTTCTCGCTCGACCGGCTGTGATCTGTGATGAATATGCTTATTTTATATTATATTTTAAATATTGATATTTTGAAGAAAATATAAAGCGAAGCTTGTAAATAAACCGGCCGTTATTTAAAACGTTATATATTTGTAATTGTAGGACAAGCGAGAAGGTAGCGCCTGTAGCGACAACAAATAGCCTCGCTATTTCGGGCCTCATTCAACAAATAAATTCTTGAAGCATTCCTTTCACAATAATATTGCTTTTTTCTAGCAGCCTTATGATAAGATAAGTTATCGTCGTGACTCGCAATTCGAGCCTCTTCGCCTTGCGACATAAAATAAAATAATTGTGCTCCCGAACTGCCGTTTGTAATAGTTAACCTGCACCGTAAAACGAGAACGAACGAATATGCAAGTATGCTAATGTTTTCATTGAAATTACGAAAAGCTGATTGGTTTGCATATTTAAACATGTACGAATGGACGAAAGCGACGAACGAATGAGCGACAAAAAGTCGCTTGCTTGTACTAAACATGTTTTCAACCGTATTGTAATGCTTGTATATTTTTTCTGTCGTTGTGCTGATAGAAAAACTACATTTCGGCTAATTCAATCAAGGATGGTAGAAGATAGTCTTAACTTAAGGCCGTAAAGAAGATACACACAGACATGTATTACCATTAGATATATATTTGGGGATATGCAATACACATGCATGCGCACGTAAAAATCTCACATCTTGTAACTGCATGAAAACGCCTAAAGAATTGTAATTTCATCACATTTTTTATTTGAGCCTAATAGGTGATCATAACAGAAAGGAATTTCATGTGATAGAAACTATTTAGCGTTAAGTTTAACTCGACTTTGTGATATTATTGTAATTTCCATAACATGCCAGTTAAAACGTATATTCAAATCCCAGGAGCATAATAAGTTCCATAGCCACAATAAACTTAAATGCAAATCAGCAGTAACTGCTATACATATTACGATAGTTAAATTATTGTCGTCAGTCGCTTCGATCTCGCTTGTCTGCTCTTCCATTGCGGCATTTATCACCGGTAGTATACATTGAATATATTGCCTGAACGGCGTTGTGCAAATTTAATAGCACGATGTTTAAAACCTCTACGTCGTCTGCCATGCTTTTTCAAACAGCTCATTCGTAGTTTGCACAATTGCAAATCCACCTGGAATTGCATATAAATACACGTATATGCAAATGTCTTAAAACACATGAAGAAATGCTTAAGAATTGTTGTAATAATTGCATTGAGGCTACTTAACACGACCTTGATTAACTATAAAATTCAATTGAGTTTACGAATTGACGACTTCGGTAAAATACTCAGGGTTCTATGTATAATATTATTCAACTTAGTTATTCCTCAGTTTGGGATGTTACCATTACCGTTCATCGATCATCGTCATCTTGTTGCATGCCCCCTGTTTTAACCGTATAATATACACGATATCACAACACAAAATTACCTCACCAAAATATGCATGCTACGGCTTAAAGTTTACAAACAAATATGATAATAAACTTGTTTTAGCCAATAGAAACCATCTATTTGAACGATTGTGAACCGTACTCTCGTTCAGTTAATGAGGCTACTCGTTCGTTCTCGTTCTACGGTGCAGGTTAACTAATACAACGCGCTAATATCGTAGCCTCCTCCGCAGGCATCTCTTATGTATTTATTATTTTTTTTCTCACTCCCCGACACAGCTAACCCAAGCCAAATATAAATGCCTAATATCAATACATAAGAGATGCCTGCGGAGGAGGCTTCTAATATCGCATATCATTAACATTCCAAAAGTTTCTCCCCCACTGATGGAATGTGTTGATGCGCGGAATATATGCGCAGAACGGACTTTACCTCATCTTTAATATACGGTTTCTTTATCTTCATGAAAATAATATGGATTCGCAATTTATGTCCATGACTAGGAAAACATTCAAAAGTTCCTCTACGATAGTTCCTAATTCAACACACACCGTTTCGAAGGAAAATATAATCCCGGTTCTCGGAAGACATAAGCATATATAATTATAAAGGCTCTACAGCATTTACTACACGTAATATTTTGTATATGTGCATCTAAAGACTGCCTATATTGTCCAAACGAAAACAAGTTTCTCGACATTATATATGTAGTGCACAGAACCTCTTAAATCTGGAATCTTGCTTTATATAATTTATTGTGCATGGTAGCTACATAGCAGTTTGGTCTTGAATATAGACCAATTAGTGGCAGCTAGCTATGCAACAAATATGGTTGGAGATTCCTCGTCGTTTTGAGTCATTTATCTATATAATATATATTCCGTACGTGATTGCATTAATGCTGATGCTTAACATGAAATTACAAAGTATTCTACAAGTATGTAATTCAGGATTTAACCTGTTCCATCTTCTACAAAGACAAATATCTCATGCAATATATATGTCTACTGCGCTATATTCGACCAACTCGATGCAAGTACAGTTTGAGTCTGCATACCTATATACTCACCGGTAAATTCGTCATTGCATTCTTTAGGGAAATCCAGTGCCCTAAAATTTCTTGATGAAATTGTTTCTGGCACTTTCCCTCGATATTTTCGTCGTAGTAACGACGCATTTCGTCGGCATTCATAGCTTTCATTTTTGGTGAGGTGTTCATAATATACAACAAAGACAGACACCATACATCTAAGCCTTCGCTCTGTGGAATTTTCTTATGCCCAGCGATCATTGAAACGTCGCAATTGTTTTTAAAACGAGGAACACCCTCGCATTTCTTCACTTTGTTCGTTCCCGACATAACGCAAAACCCTAAAGTTTTAAACTTTAAGTTAACTTTCATTTCAGATCTGATAAATTATAACCGTGTGTGTTCTATGCTAAATGACATCATTCTTAACAGGGGGGACTTTTGTCGACCATAAAGATATCGCAGGCTCGCGGCATTTTCGACGAAAATTTTGCTTTGTCATATTTTGCTTGCAATTTTTAAGAATTTTGAAGTTTTCAGCATTGTTATTCGCTGGTTTTCGAAAGTCTCAAGATTTTCTTTGCTGGAAGTTGTATAGAGTAACTCATGAAGAACGTAAAGAGTGCTTCCAACCCGTACTTGGATAAAAATATTTAGGCCGTACGGACCGCGCGAGATTTAAAAGCACAGAGCCAACGCTAAAAAATGAATTCGGACCGCAAGAAAAAAAATATCTATTATTTACCAGTTTAGTCGATCCGTATAGGGAAATATTTCCCTCGGTCTCAAAAGGACCTTTGGAAATTAAGGTTGATAAAAGACTCTATTTTCTTAAGGAACTTAAACGCGCAAGTGTTCCGTGTAAAGACCTGGCCTAGCTCCAGTTCTACATATCATGCATTAGATCAGTACTAGTCATGGACTATATGGCTATGCCATCCCGGTTTTTTACAATGCGTTACCTCAATACTTGAAAAAAGATTTGGAACGGCTGGAGATTGGCCATTATTGTACCTGAAGAAAATTATTCTGGCACATTAAACTCACTTGGTATTCCAGCTTTGAAAGTTCATCATGAATATCTGTGTAACAAGCTATTTCATTCTGCTGTGTTGGATCCAAACCATAAAATTCATAATTTGTTGCCAGAGAGGAACAAATCTAATCATAATTTAAGACATGATATATCATAGAGCTTTCGATATTCCAATGCGATTCCGGCGCCCTAGCAACGCCCAATTCAACCCAGTGTCAGCCAATCACGGGGCATAAATCTGTGACATAAGGCAGGCAACTATCATCCCGCATGGTTTTGAAAAAAATTCGCTAAAATTTTGACGAATTTTCGATAAATTCAGCCTTTTTGTGTCAATGAAGACCAAAAAATTACAGGATACATGTTTAAAATTAACTCGTGCTCATACTGAGCTGTTTTTTTAAGAGATTGAAGTGTTTTTGATATATTTTTTTTATTGATATATTATTTTTATGTATACAGTAATATACTTGCCAACCTTGTATAAATTTTATACATACACGCGTAAAAACGCTCAGGTTGATGTTCAGGCGTGTAAGAGATCATTCACATTTTTTATTTATGAGTGCGTGCGCTACTTCATGTAATGCAAATTATAACGGATCAAAATTCTAATTGTATATTAATGCCATGAAAAACACATTTTCAGGTAACCTATGCTGAAACCAACTTGGAAAAATGATAGCGAAGTGAATAGCGACAATTGTTGGCGACAATTGCTGAGATACACTCCGCCAGTTGGTATAACTGCATTTTCAGGGCATATTTGATGCCGCTTTTAACGCGTTTCATGTTAAAGCTCTCCCATACTTGTTACCTTACATATTAAAATACGAGAGCATCTCATGGTTGCATAGCCAACATTACCTACATCGCTTTGCGTTTGTAAACTTCAAGGAAACGCTTAACTTTATTTTAGGTGATGTCGTTTGGATGGTAGCACGAAAGAATTTGCTAGAAATTGTGTGGAAAGGAAAGAACGTCACTCGTGTAATGCAGAAAAATAGTTGTATGTGTTAGTCGTGATATTCGGTCTATGAATTCAAGGTCAAGTTTATAATTTGCATTAATTGAGTTATTCGTAGACAGAAGCTGGTCTTTAGGGAAGAAGACAAATAAATTAGTGAAAATTGTGTTTATTACGCCTTTCATATAGTGACGTTATATGCACCACAAGCTATGCATATAGCTGCTGTACATATTATCTCGAAACGTGAACTCTGTGTGTATGTATAACTAGCGTAGCATTTCACATTTCTTCACTTCTTCCAACTTCGACAAACGATAGAGAAGCAAACAGTGACAATTGTCAAAAACTTTAAAAAGTTCCTTTTTTTTTCCTAATACGCATTATGCAATCTTTTGACATACACATCTGTCAGCTGTGAAATGCCCATTTTGGGGCTTAAAGTATAAACAAAATTATTCGTTTTTGCCTTGTGCAAGCTTTAAATCTTTTGTTCAAGTCATATATATTCGGTGGTTGTAAATGTAGATAACAGGAGTGAGTAGATAACAGCGCTGAGTTCGCTTGGTGTTTCGGGTTTAATGAATCGCACATAAAATACCTTTTTGTTCGGTATATTTGGCTCATATTTTTACACGATGGGCCACGTTCGCCTGCCAGTCACAGACTGTGCCTTTCTCAATTTGTCCCGCAAAATTCTTTTCGCAAGATTGAACAATGTTTTCGAACGTTAATTCCTCATAATCAAACGGCACAAATTCTTGGGGGCCGATTCGGGAATATTTCTGCTGTTTACCTGACACTTCCGAGCTCATTCTTTGAACTACAATTTCGTCCGCGACCTCATTTGACTCTCCTTTACCTTTCTTCACTTTAGCCATTCTTATTTGCTTTTGTTGTAACTAGTTTGAACTGCCTCCAATTCTTCACATTTTGACAAGAGCAATATTTTCCTCGCACGTGTGTGGGTATTTACGGGAAGGACTGTAAATAACCATTCATAATTATAATCATGCACGCCCACGAATCACTCGTGCGCGCATGGTATTATGGTATTGGCTGCGCTCGGCCACAAAGATATTTACCGCTTTTACTTCTGTTTGAATTTTCATTGTACATTGCTTTTTATTTTCAATTTAAGTTGCAGTTTATTTTCAATCTGTTTTTGTTTTGCGTTTAAACTCATCATATATTTGAAACAAGCCTCATGAATATGGAAACGACTAGATACGTGACGTCATCGTTTTCAAATTTATCCGTCAAAGCCGTCCACACGTATCTTCTCAGCCAATTCAAATTAGCGGCATAGCGGCTGTAATGTGACAGAAGTTGCCTAAAATATCTCATGAGTATACAAATCATATCAAATAAGTGAATCATTAATTAACCTAAAACATAAAGTTTGTTTCCTTTGGGAGCTAAAAATTAATGCATTATAAGCGCTGTAAATAAAAAAGAGCAGTTTTATCAAATCGTTTTTCTAGCACACGCCCCACGTTGAATTATTTCAATGCATGGGTTTAAACACTTTTGCACGTCCTTAATAATTAACTACGTCCTGTTGATTGTGATTGTACACATGGGAATTGTCCAATTCTAGCTATAAGTTCGCGGCTAATTTGTCAGTTTTTTTTACTCATCCTGTATATGTACACCCACGCCTTATATGCATCAAGCATTTCTTTATGGGCAATTCTTTATAGGCAAAGTTTTACAAACCGACATTTCTTTGTCAAAATATTGGCTTAACTTTGTGGACTTTGAGATAGATATACACATCCGTACAGTATTTTTTTCTTAAGCGATGAGTCATACAGTGACAGGCTTCACCAGAGGTCAAGTTTTGATTCAATTATTCGCCAGTTTACTCAACTGTGAATTGGACGTCGACTACGTTATCATTATACCGATTTCTGGCGATTTGGGCAGGTTTTATGTTAAAGAAGGAAAGAACTTATTCCCGGCTTTATTACGGTATGCTGCATGATTGTGACGACCTTTCAGTTCCATTCCGAGTGTTTAACCAATATAGTATTTCACGTTTCTATTCTATCTCACGTATATATGTATACATATGTGGTAAATTTTGACTAAACCAAAAACTTAAATAATTGAATCTTCTAAAATAACATTTATTGAATAAAACAAACATTACTTATGATATTTAAGGCAATAATATAGTTTATTGGTTTGGGGCCCTGTCCGCACCATACCGGGGAGGATATGCTCAATATGTTTACGAACAATATATTGTGCATGTTTGAAAGTGGTTTTGCAAGAAAAAGTAAGAATGGTTTTGAATGCCAGTTCCGCCGCCATTTTGCATGTACCCATTTTAGCTTTTATTTTGAAATCTCTCGTGGCGTTCAAAGGTAAATTTATTTCCCTCATGTATTAGCGTCGTGCGATTAAATTTTCCGTTAATTTTTATATGGTAATTACATAAATCATTATGTCAAGATCACAGGGTAATTTTCCGCAGTTAAATATATTGGTGTTATTGAGAATTTTATGACATTTCAGGAGTCTCTACATCAGCACATGTGAGAATAACGAATACGGTGTTATGGAGAACGGATGGTTGGGGAACAGCAATAAAAGATGTGAGCATATAATTATCTTAGGTTTGCTTGCAAATTAGTATTGGTTTAGAATTAGTGAGTCCATGCGTGCAATAAAATGTATTAATATCCCGCAGCTTGAAATATCTTTGACAGAGACATGCGGGGGGTTGGACTTGTCAGAAGATATAGTATCTTCTGATTTTACGTAACAAATCCCAACGTAATGCTTTAAGGTGAAATTTTTTGATGAAAGATAAAAGACTTCACTTTCGCCTTATCTTAAGACATTTCGGTGAAAGTGAATAAATTATTAAGAGACAGAACGCGATTTGGCGCACAGACCAGATCCGATTTGGCAACGCCGCGCGATGATTCAAAGCCTTTTATTTTCCAAAAGTGACAAATAATTGTGCCAGCTAATTTACATGCTCAATGCTCATAATCGGATATAAATGTATACTAGAAATATATATGCATGCCCTCGTCATTTTAAGCGCGAATCAATATATTTCCCGAATTAGCCATACCTAACCCTCTATATAAGCTTATATTATGAAATGACTTTATAAATAAGCCCATAGCCGCCTATGATAGCTGATATTTGAAATTTTTTGGAAACAAACACAATCGTAAGGGTGAAGTCGCGGTGTCACCAGTATTCCTGCTGCATTTAGCCACAGTTTATGTGAGAGGTAATATTTCACTAAATGTCGAATATTATATTTCGATATATTGATTTTATGCAATGATTGCAGTCGACTCT